GAGACTTCTACCATTTTGACCACAGTGAATGTGCTGCCTTGTATTTAATCTAAAATACTCGAGGTAATTACATGGATACTTAACTCTCAAGGTGCTCGGCCAACATGAGTTAGTTGGATATGAATTGTGATGTTGAGTTCGTGGCATGGATGATTATGCATTGAGGGTTGGGTGTGAAGCTGTTTAATCTTCCTTTTAAGTGTCCCTAGCATTTTCCTATATTGATGAGTGTGATTCCCCTTAGCAAAGTTATCCTAACAAGATTTCTCCTATAAGTTGGCGGCTAAGTGGCATCTAGTGGTTGACTTTGTTGGCAGAGAGACATGGTATGCTCCCAAGCAAGAGCAAGGAAAGCCCCTGTCTGGCAGTAGTTCTGTGTTCTGGCAGGGCTCCATACAAGCAGAATGGCTTATGCTTTACAGGAGCATAAATAATAGTCCAGTCAAAAACAAGAGGGCCAGAGATTTTGGGGTACCTTATTGGACATGCCTACTACTGAGCTAGCAATTCAAGCATGTCTCTTGCACTTGTTTTAACTCGGTAAGCAATGGGATATCTTGAGAAACAATGTCATTTAGGATCTATCAGAGTCTTGGGTGAGTACCGAGTACTCTACCAGAAGACGCAGATTTTCGGAAATGGCTGTAACTCTATTTGTCACCAATGATGTCTGGCTTTTTTGAGAGTGATATTTGTAGATACACCTTTACAAGTCATGAAACTTTTGCCGGAACTTGATAAAGGGTGTACCAGAAGGTGTAAGGCCCTCTTTGTATGGTCTGTTCACTGCGTACTGCCAAGATGAAATTAGTTGTGGTTTATGAATCATGTCTATTACTTCATAGACTGTATAACTTACAGTATTTTGATGTTGTATTATGAATTCTGATGAGTGGCCTTGTTGGTGTAGCATGTATATTTTTGTGGCACTATGTAAGTCTATCACATACTAAAATGTGTGTTCAGGTACTGTGAATGCTTTGCCTCTGGGATCTATTGTGATGGATGCAATTGCGTAAATTGTCACAATAATGTGGATCATGAATCAGCAAGGCAAGAAGCAATTGGAGCAACCCTGGAGCGCAATCCTAATGCATTCAGACCTAAGATTGCAAGTAGTCCACATGGATCCCGAATGAATAAGGTGTGCTGTTGGATTAATTAATTCTGGTTGTATTGTGTTTTCTGTGTCTCAAGGGGGATGATAAGAATTTTCTTGAGTGAGGTTTTGATGGATATTAAGTATATAAAAGTAATGTTGTGGATAAATTATTGTATGAACCTCTACTGGTATTAGTTCAAAGATTGTTCTGGTAAATTTGTAATCCTTGCGGTTATCATCATTGGTTAGATATTATGCAACATTTTCGTATCTGCTGCTCAGGTGTGCTGTCATGAATTATTGGTTACAATTATTTGCTTATTAGAAAGGCAGTCTCTATTTTAAATTTGTGATATACTAAATCTAACTATTGGTTTTGTCCTTTTGCACTTTTATATTGACATATTGAAAGATAACTTATCACTCAAGTTTTCTATTGGAATGCAGCCAGAAACAGGGCCAGCACAACTGGTGGGAAAACATAATAAGGGGTGCAATTGTAAAAAATCAGGGTGCCTCAAGAAGTACTGTGAGTGCTTCCAAGCAAATATTCTTTGTTCCGACAATTGTAAATGCATTGATTGCAAGAATTTTGAGGGAAGTGAAGAGAGAAGAGCTCTCTTCCATGGTAGCAACTACAATACCATGATATATCAAGCAGCAAATGCAGCAATCAATGGTGCAATTGGGTCCTCTGGGCCATCTGGCTATGGTAATTCTCCAGGATCAAGAAAGAGGAGAAGTCAGGAACTCTTCATTGGCATGTATAATAATCAGCCTTTTTATCGTAATACACATTACATGCAGGTATCCTTATCATTGTCACCACGCTAATGTAGTTGGTCTACTAATTTCACCTGCTAGTTTTGTAATGTACAGGGAAAAATATGCAGTTTAAATTGAGGGATTAACTGCCATTCTTTTGCTTATGCTCTCTAAATGACTCATTTATAGTTAATACAATCAGAAATTTGATTTTATGCATAAGATTGACTGTCTCAACATTAGTATGTTTAACCATGTCATTTTCTTGACCTAAACAGACGCAATTTACATGCATTTAAATCACAGATTAGGCATCAGGTTTCCTTTCTTTTAGATATATCCTGTAATTTTTCTTACCTGTCTTTGTGGTTGACATGTACTTTCTCCTCTTTCTTTCAGGGGAATCATGTAAAATCTGCCCCTCCAACTCATCCATCAGAACCACCTGCTACTCGTGGGACCAGTTCCCAAGCTGCTTCAAAAATCACATATAGGTATTCCTGATGCAGTGCGCTGTTGCAGCAATGCCCTTTGCATTGTCACTTTGTGCAATTTACAGCCTTCTATTTGAAGAACTACAGGTTGCTCATTTCTGCTTTTGTGTGTTTTAAGGTCTCCACTAGCTGGTGTCATTCAACCGCAGGACGTGAAAGAACTTTGTTCTCTTTTGGTGATAGTCTCAAAGGAGGCAGCAAAGCCTTTTGTAGGTATATCTCAAGCACAACTATTGTTTATTAGTACATTTGACATTGTATGATTTGCATCACTAAAATTTCCTTTATAATTATGAGTTATGATTTTGGTATCGTAATTTGAAAAGCAATGCAATTGTATTGTTGATTTGGAGATTGAATTGCTTCTAGACTCTGAATATGTTCATTTTCCATTGAGTGCAAGTAAAAATATTACCCACCTGTTTGGACCACCCTAAACATAAAATACGGGAAGAATTTCGTTGGGTTATCCATTATCTTGATTTAGTTTCAAATAGGTGGTTTCTGTGTTTATTAGACTTCATACAGTGATGTTGTAAGATTTGTTGAAAATTTTAAGATTTGAAGATTCTTTCCTAATTTCCTTGTCTGATAAAGTGGCAAGTAGCCATTTGTTATGCAGATGAAAGGAAAAATATTTGGGCTGAAGATTTAGCTAATAAGCACCTGTGCAGGCTGTGATACTCATCTATTGATGTATTAGCTTTCAGAGAAATGTTAATTGTGTTTGCTCTTTGCAATTTTACTGCTGTGCTATAAGAATTCTGCTAACTAAAATTGTTAGTTAAGAGTTGATAGTTCAAATTTTTGTAATCAAAGACAAATGGAGGTTTGAAAATCTTTGCTGAAATCTCAAAGCACGTTTCCTCTTTCACTCCAGTTCGTGCTCTTTGGTTACAATCTATTAGTAAAAAATGTTAACTTCAACCCTTAGCTGCAGACTTCAGTAGTCTCTTTGCATCTGCGATTGAAGGTGTTATTTGAATTTGTTTCATAGAATTGAACTGTTTTGGCTTAGTCACAAGATTTGAGTAACACCAGTTATTCTTTCTTTGCTTTCACTAATCTATCATATATTGAATCTTAAACAAATTCAGATAAAAGCAGCAATATAGATAATCAAGAGAAGGATGAATCCAGGTCTCGTGGCAGTTTTGAAACAAAAGCGAAGGTGAATGATCAGAAAGAGTATAATATGGAAAAAGGAGCTCTGCAGAATCATTCAACTGATGAGCAAGCTGTTAGGATTCGTCCAGAGAGTTCTGGGTTGGATGAAAGTGATGCACTTCATGGAAGGCCAGCATCTCCCGGAACAATGGCACTGATGTGCTATGAACAGGAAAGTGTACTGATGGAAGAGAGTTCAAGAGGACCAACAGTCAATAACCAAAACACGGCTCCTGAGACATCCAGTGAGCCAAAAGTCACAGATTGTTTTGTGAAACAAGAGAGGGCGGTATTGACCAACTTCCGTGATTTTCTCAACCGACTGATAACTTGTGGTAGCATTAAAGGTAACCTTTCTCATTTTTACTTAGTTTCTGTGAACTTGACTAGCTTTCTGACTATAATAGATATGCTAGGTTTTATTTCATTATGTAAAATGAAATGAGATGATTATCTTATTTTAGAATACATGCATTTCTTATTAGCTAGTTGGAAAAAAACTTACTCCTATTTTCCTCTGACCTGCTTTTTTTTTTATCTGCAGAAACAATGTGTTCTTCCCAAGCGAGAAATGAAGCAGGTATTCAAGGACCATCAGTAAAGACTGACGCTTTCTATAACGGGCATCTCAGTAATGGCATCTTAAAGCCATTTGCTTCGATGGCTAACCATACACCAGCCACAAGAACAGGCGGAGTGGTTTTTGGTTCCACCAATGCTTTTGCCCAGCATATGGGACTTCCTAACGAAAATGGCATGTTAAAACCCAAGACAGAGAAAACTGTATAATACTTCTAGGCCTAAATGCAATCAGCAATATAGAGTCCAGAGTCTCCACAATATTTTCCAGATCGATGGCTAAGCAACTGACGGTTAGTTCAGACTTAAGAGTGTCTTCTGTTAATAACTGTTGATTAATGGTAATAAAAATCAGTTCCACTGATCCCACTTATATCACGCTTACACGCTCTGTGAAGTTATGATAGATCCGTAACATGTTCAGTAATGTTACTTTCTCTATGAAGTACTTAATTCCTATAAGTACGTAGTTTAAGAAAATTTTGTAAAAGGTGAAACAATTATATACTTTGTATAATCAATGATTACAGTTTTATATTTTAAACGTAGTTTATCTGAGATCATGTGGTTTCATGAATATGAAATACGAGTACAAAACTGTACAAAGCAAAGGCTAAACTCTTCAAGTCTGATACTCCGTATTAACAAGTTCGGTGCCTCCATGCACATAAGCACATGGCCAATTAGCCACTACTACATCTTACGGAGTATCATTTTATTTTAAAAAAAGACTAAGGTTGAGGCTATATTAAGAAATGCATTATGGTTTACCAACAAGGCAACAATTGTTTATGCTGACTTATTGACTATTAGCATTAGGTTTTATGTTTATTTGCTGCAAATTCCATCTTTGATTGTTTTTTTTTTATTTAACTTTGATTGTTTTTTTCCTTTTTTGGGAAAGTTCCTCTCCTCTCCTCTCTCCATAATAATGTGTCTAATAAGGTCCCGTTCACTTCACCTTATTTTTACATTTGAAAAATATCTTTTCTTTCATTGTTTACAAAATAATTCAAAAGTGCATGTTAATACGAACTTCCCATTTGATAATTATTAGTTTACAAATATAGCTAAAAGGAAAAAAATTACAGGTGTAATAAACCAATAAAAAATACTCCGTATTAAAAAAATAAACAAAGTGAAAACCTTTATATTTTGTTGACTTGTTGAGAAAAATAATTAAAAAAAAAAGTATTCCTTGCTATAAAATGGCTTGGTATTTATCTCCATTATCACATGTGCGAGCTCTGCCTCAGCTACATCTACGCCAAACGTGCTGTAAAAACGTGCCAACTCACCCGCCAATATTCTCGTTTCTCTCCTACCATACTTGTTCTCCATATTCCTCCCATAAATACCGAGTTGAGTCAACTCATTTCACAGAACACTCGAAAAATCAGAACACCAAGAACAAAATGGAAGAAATTGCTGCTAATCCTGCCATTTTACGCGCCGAATTCTATCAACTTCTTCGCAGCCGACGAATTGAAGGTATGTTTCATATAATTTCATGTCTAATTTTTAATTTTTATGATTTTTGGGAATTTTTAAGGTCTTTGATTTTATAATTTTTGAATAATGAAATGTTGTAGAAGTTTACTTATTGATGATTAGAATGTTTGATTTTTTGATTTTTTGTGAGGATTGAATTAGATGTATGCTTGATGACAATGTATTAATGTAGATAGTTGATGAGAAGTAGAAATTTGGTGTTTGTTTAAGATTGAATTGAGGAAGTATATGATAATTTTCGAGATTGATTAATTTTAAACACATGAATAGTATAACAATAATGCTGTTATTTGTTGTTAGTTTTGAAAACTAACAATATTTAATGGAAGGTATGGTGAACTAGTTTATAAAGTTAACTTGATTGGTGTAATAAAAATAAAATTAAGATCTTTTTAATAAAAAAAAACTAAAAATAAATTTACCATCTTTTAAGGACAAAGTTTTGGATTTTACTCCCTTTAAGGGCTTTAACTGCTTTTTTTTTTTTCTACAAATAAAATCTAAATTAAGTAATTAACAAATTACTTTGATAGAATCAAATAAAGGTTTCTTTCATCAAAGCTACATCCATTGCAAAGATTAATACATCACTCGCACACATCGCTGAAAAATACATTTTTTTTTATAAAGACGTTGTAACGATTGGTTGTAGCTGACTAGCCGTAAGGATGATTATTATATAGTTCCCTTGAATTGCCTTAATCTTATCAACTTGATATATTTTACTCCCTGTAATTATTATTTTTTTTTTTTTTTTTTTTTTTTTTTTTTGAATTTCGGATATTTGATGTGTGCTCAGACTGCTCAGTGCTCACCCTACATGTTTCTAATAAGATTGATCATCTTGGATGATACTCCATAAAGTTTTTGTTATATTGATGTTGTTGCGGGCTAGAATAAATAGTCAGGAAAGAGCTGCCATTTCATAAGATGGTTTCAATTTATGCATGATTTTCTATTGTGTACCTAATTGGAATGGTTGAGAAGAAGAAGGTTAGTGGGAACAACTACTACAAATAAAATGATGTACGTTAATCGTTGAAGTTTGTATTACTCTTATCTCTTAACAACACATGTGACTATGTGAGTGTCCGACATGTAGAAAAGAAGATAGAGATGATTACACTTGATTGGTTTATCCTGTTATACTCCCTTTATTACCATATGATTTGATGTGGAATCTCATTTGGCTTTGTTAAGTAGACTCTCTCTGTTGATGATGACGGGTGCAGCCTAGGCCCTTAATCTCTATATGCAATGACTTGAGACAATATGCAACCTTTTTTGGACAAATATGTACTTTGGCTGCAAGATTGATTTGTGTTTTCCCATCTCTTGTAGTTCCTTTGAGAGTCGAACCTGCAAAGCCTGTAACGGATCCAATGTATCAAGGGAGTCCGTCACCACCACCTCCAAGTTTCCAGGAGGTTATTACTCATTTTCATCTCCTTTTCAACTTGGAAATGATTTATATCTGCTTATCTTATTTGCTTTGTCTTGTACATTCCTATTACTTAATTTATTCCTCGTATTCCTGCCAGGCTATGAAATCTTGTCCTAAAGCAGATATTGACAATCTTAAGGATCTCCTTGTTGAAGAAAATATATACTTACACACCGAGGTATTGACTCTAAGCACAATGCCAAACACATTCATTGCATATTCTTAGTGATAGAGTATTAAAGCCAATCTTGGGCTTCATCCATCCGTTTAAGTTTAAGCGTTAATCCTTTGGTATGGTATCGAGAGCCAATGTGAAAAGGGTCATGGGTTCAAATCTCATACACTCCTCCTTGGCTCCTTCCAAGTGGAAAAATTTAGCGCCTACTGGGTATGGAGAAGACCCTTGTTGCATCTACATTTGAAACAAATATGAAAATGTTAAGTATAAGGAAGTGTAAAGAGTATATTGGGATGGAGGGGAGTAACATATGGTCTGACATTCACGTGCCTGAGTTATAAGTTGCCTTGTAGATTCATTGCCAGAATATGCTTAATCTGATCAGATTGTCTTTGCAGCAATTTGATTGAAAATCCTGTATCTCTTTATTGAGATAAGATGAGATGGCTGTGTTGACAAACTTCATCTGTGTCGTAAACTCATAATTGCTGCTTACTTTGGCAGTTTCTGGGGTATCCATTTATTTTAAAGGCATTAACTGGCAGTCTGCCAATTTTGTTACACATTCGGACTGACTTAATGTTTCATGATCTTGCATAGGCCTCTGCGCAAGGATGTTTACCAATTTTGATTCTGAGCATGAGGCGAACTAGTTATCTGCCAAAGAGACCAGCTGTTGTTATCCTGCACAGCACGAATAAGTGCAAAGAATGGGTTCGACCTTTGCTTGAGGTGGCTACTGATATTAACTGGTGCATTTTGCTTTAATTAATCTAACATTTTTTAGCGCATACCTTATATCTGTTCTCATATGTTCCAGGCTTACGCCTCACGCGGCTATGTTGCTGTTGCCATTGATTCCCGTTATCATGGTGAACGTGCTAATAGTCCAACAACCTATAGTGAAGTATATTCTGTACCATGCCTCTTTAGTTGGTCTTTCTATTGTGCTCGAGGCTTTTGAACCTTTTGATTACAAAAGCCTTAGCTAATTTATAAGCATGTTATTTGGTTAATGAATAGCAGGCACTTGTATCATCATGGAAAAACGGTGACACTATGCCATTTATATTCGATACGGTAAAGTCTTCCCTTCCTATCTTCTCCTAAAAGAAAAGAGGACAGTGAGGACCTATATTAGACTTCTCATCTTGTAGAAGGAAGAAACAACACTTATTAAATTGGTATTTTGTTGTAACTATGAGCTGCAATTACCTTCTATTTTTTCTTTGAGTTTTTGTCTTTTGGGAGGAAGAGGGTTGAAATGAAAAAGAAAAATATTCGAGTTTGTTCCAAGTTTAAGAGTGTAGATATACTGCAGGTATGGGATCTGATAAAGTTGGCTGATTATCTTACTCATCATAGGGATGATATTGATCATGCAAGGATTGGAATCACTGGCGAGTCACTTGGAGGTTTGTTAGAGCAGTTCACCTTATCTAAACTATGATATTCTCTTTGATTTTAATGTAGCTCACAGTTCATCATGCTATTCAGGAATGCATGCGTGGTATGCTGCCTTTGCTGACACACGCTATGCTGTGGTTGCACCTATCATTGGAGTTCAGGTGCAGTTAGTGAAAGCTACATGTTTTTGTTTCTGATATTCCACAAAGCTGACTAACCAAATGATGTTGTTTGTAGGGGTTTCGGTGGGCCATAGACAATGACAAATGGCAGGCTCGTGTAGACAGTATCAAGTCTGTTTTTGAAGGTGAACAGTGAAAGAAGCAAAAGCAACATTTCACATTAACTGTTCTTGGGATGATAACTTATCTGATTTTTTTTTTTTTTCCAAACTTTGCATTTGCAGAAGCCCGTGTTGATTTGGGCAAGAGTGTTATAGACAAAGAAGTCGTAGAGAAGGTCCGTTGCTGATTTTATTCATCTACTTGTTGCATGTGATTGATGTTGTCGTTCTCTGTATTTCCCTTGTTCTATAAGGGTCCTGGTTAAAATTTTCAAAGAAGAGGAACACATTCACAACGTATACATACTTCAGAATTTATCTATAATTCAGCAAATATATTGCACTGTTGTAATGTTGTTAACCCATACTGTGGACCTGTTTAAACCAGGTTTGGGACAGGATTGCTCCTGGTCTGGCTTCAAAGTTTGATGCACCTTACACAATCCCGGCAATAGCTCCTCGTCCTCTGGCAATTTTGAATGGTATGACTTTTTAACTTCAGACATGTTAAGACTTTGAATTGACAGTAAAGCTCCTACTACTAAATTTACTGATGATTAGATTTGCATCAGCAGAATTTAATTCATTTATTGTAAAATAAATTATCTGTGTAGTGTTTCCCTATTGTATTTTAGAAGAGCAGCTTTAATACTGACAAATACTGTCTTTATGTGGGCTTAGAGAAACATGGCTATCCACTAGTAAATTAGAGCAAGATCATTTCTTGTGCAACCTTTTCTAAAAGCGTGGATGTTTATTCAACAAGTGTACAATTACGAGCATGGTATTTATGCTCAGTACATGTGACATTTTTTTGACAATTCACAAGTTTATATGTTTATTTACCCCAAAATTTGTCTTTCTTGCATCTTCTGGCAGTCTGAGAGCTCAAAATACTCTTCTGTTTGTTCTTTTTAATTATTTGAGTCCTGAAGATTTGTAATACTCTGCTGCATAATGTATCTATCTTGTGATGTGTATATATGTTCCTTGGCTTCTAGTCTTAATGGCTTCTTTTAGTCAGCAAGTGAGGTCTCTGTCTTTTTTTTTTGTTGACATTTCTACTTCTCTCTGAGGTGGCCAAAACCAGGTTTTTTTTTACCAAATTTGTTTTGATATTACACTGGACTGAATCTCTCTGTCAAATATACAGGTGCTGATGATCCTCGATGTCCCCTTGCCGGTCTAGATATACCTGTATCAAGAGCAGAGATGACATATAAAGCATATCATCACAGTAATTATTTCAAGGTAATTAATAGAATCATGATAAGAATATCGGCATGGTTTCTTTTGCATGATTCTTGGAAGCAAAATTGTTAAAATAATTACCTTGAAATAATTAATACGAAGTTTTTATCATTTTTATTCCCCAAGGAAGATCGTACTTCCTGTGGTTCTTTCCTTTGCTACTCATCTCAATTAAAAAAATCTACCTTCAATAATGACTCAATTTTATCTCAAGAAATGCATGGAGATGGCACTTCTATGTCACAAGTAAAATAAGCTATCATCTTCTTCTCTTTAGCTCATTTGAGTTTTAAACAATAGACATTGATATCTCTGATGGTGTATGCCGTGTATCTACTTTCAGCTCATAGCAGAACCTGGAATAGGACACCAAATAACACCGGCCATGGTCAAAGAAGCTAGTGACTGGTTTGACAGATTTCTGTAGAGCAAGCATGAAGGTGTATGATGATTCTGAATTGCTTAAATTCAACCGAATAAATAAATTGAATTCATACATGATGCTTCCTCAAATAATGAAGCAGCTAAATCTGCATCTTAAAGCTGTGTATTTCTCATTGATGATGTGCCAAGTGAACTGTATTATCATTGCTGTCAGGTGTATTATTATGTCCTTAAGGTTCCATTTCTTTGGTTTTACTTCTTATGTTCTTTCCTTTTCATTTTAGTTATAATTTTGGTACACTGGAATATAGAGAACTTTATTTGTAAGATTAATTTCATTAATAAATAAACCAGTGGATCATCTCTGGTCTAGTTCTACTATATTAGCAGTGTAATCTAAGTTTTATGTTCCTATTAGATTTTTTTTTTTTTCAGAGGACCACAAATTCTCTTCAGAGGACTCTCTAAGTAGCACCTGTTGTATGTCTCAAATACTAGGACAAAACATCCAAGCCATTGATGAAGAAAAACTTGATCTAGTTAATGAAAACTTGGAAATGGAACAATTGGAAACCCATTAAATTACTCCGAAAGTAGAACTAGAACTCAAAAACATGAAACTTGAGCACTGCATCATTATTGCATTTTCCTCGTCCTATAAAAAAAAAAAAAAAAAAAGAAAGAGGTGGGCTAGGTGGTTGTGAACTGTGATTTGGGAAATGTTTGATTAGGAAATATCACAATTCTATAATAGCTAGAATTGGCAAATGGGTTCAATTTATAGTGATTTTTGTAAGGTATACTGAGAGTCACAAAAGACAGTGATGTAGACGAAATTTGATCTCAGATATTGAATGGTGTAATTTAATTACACAACCGGTAGTACCTAGAGCTAGGTAAATACTTAACCGCTCATTAATAAATGAATATTTTAACTTTTATTTGTCAATGCACAAACTTGGCTATTAAATCTTAATACATTAACACCAATCTTTTAACTTATTACATGCTAGTTCAAAAGCTAAACAATACGATAATCTCATCACATTTAACAAAAAAATTATGGCATAACTGTCGGTAGTGTTCGAAACATATATGCTTATGTTTCCCCCAAATATATTCTATATACTACATCCGTTTCATATTAATTACAATAATTAGACATTTTTCTTCTTTTGAGACCCGAATAGATGTTTCTGGTGTTTTGGAATGGGCATTGTGTCGTTGCACATTGTATATCTTCTTCTTGGGCCTAATGTAAGTGTAAGCAACCAAAGTCAAAGAGACTAGGGGTGTCCATTATTCGGACTCCAGTCCGAAATCCAACACAATCCAGTCCAAATAAGCTATTTGGATTGGACTTTTTTAAATTTGGATTGGATTTGGATTCAAAAAGTTTAAAATTCGGATTTTTGGATTGGATTTGGACTCAAAATTTTTAAGTCCAAAAAGTCCAATCCAGTCTAAATACTCCAAATTTATATATATATATACATATATATAATTAATATATAAAAAAAATAATAATAATAAACCTCAACCCATATAACATTAGTAAGCCCAAACCCAATAGCCCAAATCTGCCAAATCCCCTCATTACTATATACTAGAAACCCTAAATCATTTCTTAGGAATTTTTTTTATTATTAATTCGGATTGGATAGGACTGGATTCGGACTATGAAGTTTTAATTTAGATTGGATCGGATTGGATTTTGAAAACTTTGAATTTGAATTTAGACTATAAAATGAGAGTCCAAATATATTTCGGATTGGATTGGACTAGACTTTAGTCCAATCCGAAGTTCGAATGGACACCTCTAAAAGAGAGTCAAACAAAAAAAAAAAAAAAAAAAAAAAAAAAAAAAAAAAAATATATATATATATATATATATATATATATATATATATATATATATATATATATATATATATATATATATATATATATATATATAAAACTGCGTTTCCTCAACTTCTTGGTTCATCCTCACTAAGCTTAGAAATTCTGGAAATAGGGCAAAAAAATAAGTAAAAATGAGCTCAACAGCAGTTCTCTCCAGATTATCTACTATTCGAGGAAGATGCAAATCAATTCCTACAATTGCTAACTTATTCAAATCAACCACCCCATCTCCAGTTTCTTCTTCTACTAAGCGCATTCCTCGCATTTCAAGGTTTTTTTTTCCCTTTTCTTTCGTTTAATCTGTTGTTAAAATGTTATCTTTTAGTTATTTGATTAATCATTTGGATGAATTTGATGATGGGTTTTTAAAATTTTGAGATTTTATGATGTTAATTGAATCTGGGTTTTTGTGGGGTTTTAGGTTACCTGTTGAAGCAAGCTGCTTACTTACAATGTTGCCGTTGCACAGTGCGATTGCTTCTGCTAGATTACAGTCTGTATTATCTGTTGATTCCCAGAATTGGTGTTTAGTTCCTCAAGGTTTCTTTCCTTTTCTCTCTCCTCTTCTTTACATAATGCTGTTTTGTTTTGACCAAGTGTATGTGGGTGTAACCTAGATTAGTTGATAATTTCTTCAATCGAGTTCTATTCGAATCATCACCCGATTCGGTTTTCTATAGAAACCTTAAATGTTGACCATGTTCACGTTCATGGGCATGGGGTTATTATTTGTCTAATTTCAGTTATTTTTGTTTAGTTATAGTTGGTGCTTGGGACAAGATAGTTATGAGGCTATGTGAAATGACTTTAATGGAATGGAGCCTAAAGCAGAGTTGTAGGATATTACGGATTATATATGTATATATTTTTCATGTTAAATGTACAAACTTTGAAGGAATTTGTTAGCGATTGGGGTTATGAGGGAGGAGAGACTAATGTGTAATTGTGATACCCTCCAAAAACAATTGGCAATAGGAGCAATCCACTTAAGTTAGAATTAAAAGGACAGACAATGTTGGGCAAATATCACACTTGTATCTAACCTCTGCTCAAGTGAGAGTTTTACACTTTCCTGAAGTAAAAGGGTTTAAAGAAAGCACCTAAACGCCATAGAGAACTCCTGGTAGGGTGAATGAAATCCCCCTTCAAGTCTTATAGGGGAATATTGTTGTTGTAGAAGCATAGCCATAGATGTAGAGGCTTAAGTGATTCCTTCAAGAAAGTTGAATTGTTAAGCATAATGAGTATGAGATATTATGATATAATGAGTATAAAGTATTAGTGTTATAGATTCGAGGTAAAATGCATTGTACCATGCTTGCACGAAAGGTATTAATGTGGGATATTATTGGTTGCTAGATGTGATCGAGAAGCAAATGCAACCAAAATTTTCACACTTACAAAGTAACAAGAATGGTGCTTACATGCTTACAAAGGATGTTCTTGAATAAAGCTTGAGATTTATAGTTGGATTGTTGGGATAAGCTTCAAGTGATCATGAAGGGATGTATTTACTAATGGTGAATTAGAGGGGAATATTGTTGTGGGGCATAAGCTAATAGGTTTTAGGTGGAGCCCAAATTATTATATCGTGGCTATCAGCATAAGCTTTCAGGGATGTAAAGTTATTTGAGGAGATTTAGAGTTGTTATTATATAAACATACAGACTTCAAATGACAAAGTGGTTTGATCGAAGTATAGATGTATTTTGGGTAGAACTTTGACAATTATTTGGGGACATTTGAGGCTTCAATTTAAACGGTGTTATCGTAGTTCCATGTTCTAGTTCATTGAGAATTAGAGCTGGACAAAATATTTTTGTTTTGATGATACTCTTCACCTTTGCTCATATAATTGTTATATGCAAATGTATGAACTTGGTGGGTCTTAAACCTTTGTAAGAATGAAATGGGTTTCTTGTACCAATGTGCCAGAACGTATGATCAATGATCTTCTGCTAATGCTAGCGTCTTTTTCATCTTTAATCTCATCTATGCTTCAGGAAAAAGTTTAACCAAAGGGGTTTTCTGCCTCCTCTCGTATATTTTGATTTTATGTCTCCCTTTGGTGAATTAATTTGTAAAATGGGGATGTGTTTTTAAGTTGATTGTCTTGATTTTGATCCTTGTTGTTGTTTAATATACAACATGGTGTTACGTAGGTAAGATAGTAGGAAAAAGTCTTGATTAACAAAAACTGCAAAATGGTTACACTTAAGGGGACTTGGGAAAGCAAAAGTTGTACTTGTCTTGAGCTGATTTTCAACTTTGTCATTTTTTATATGCCCACATGAATAAGGAAAGCTACGTAAGTTAAATTTTCCCCTTTACAAAATAATGAGTACGTTGTGGTTGTATTAGGTGTATTTTAGTTAACCTTGCTGGCTGTAGATTCGTAACTTTAAAAGTTTTTGTCCATTAAATAAATGAGAAAATTTGGATGGTGGCAAGTGGCAACTCTGGCAAGTGATGCATTTAATTGCGTTTGGAATTCGCTCTTAGTTTTTTATGCTGATAAGGTTGCTAGAAAAGGTTTTGAGGAGGTCTTTTTAAGTTGGTGCTACACAATTTGATGATCTTTTGCTGAGTTTGAAACCGCCTGCGTTTCCTCCAAGGCTGCCAGGCCGTTAGGGAGTAGGGACTATATGATGTGCTTCTCGCCCGTTGTCGAGAGGGAAAAGGATAACCTTTGAAAAGTAGAAAGTTGTATGCTATGTTTAATGCTCTCCTTCAGTCCGGGACAATGTATTAATTTCACGAGTTCTTTTAAGTTTTGGTAAATGTATTCTAATCATCAACTGCCTCTGTAGTTGCATCTTGTTCGATGGGGTAAGTTGAGTCACAGTAGTCTGTGCTAAGTAACAGATGTATGATGTAGTATCTGATTCTACTACGTACTGTTAATTTTCAAATATGAGAGAACTTAGTCATCTCACTTTCTTAATCTACCTTGTCTGCTTATCATATGAAGCTAGAAGGGTATTGGAGAGAGGAGACAATGAAAAGAATCATCATAATTGTACTTATATTTTTCTTAATCTGCAACAATAGCCATAACACTGATAAACCATACCGCCCAGTCCTTATCACTAAGTATTTACTTTAGGAAGCCAACCTAACCACAAATTTTCAACTTTCAATTTTTTGTTTATAATCTTTCCTTTCTTTCCCTGAATTCTTCAATAAATATTGTTTCCATCTCACATTTTTCTTAATGAATAAATAATAAAGGAAAAATTGTAAAGAATAATCACACCTTTGCTCGAACTACTCACGACAATCCAACTTTTACAAAATCTAGAAATAATCTCACCTTTAAATCCTATCTTCTCAAAATATACCCTTGTCCGGTTTTTTTTAAGTTGGTAACTGGTTAAAGAAAGTGACTTGTCACATGTTGCCTTCTAATTTGTCCTACATTTTAAAATAAATGATAAAACAAAAAAAAAAACTGATATTCAGCATCCCCTTTCCCACTTTCCCAGCCCTCAGCCTAAACCAGCACCACCCCATGGCTACCCACCTTCCTTGTCAGAGCTTGTTTTGTCGGGGTAGGGTTTTCACGGGGTGGGGCTTATGGGATGTGGGTGGGTTTCTGGGTGGGGAATTTCAGGATGAGGGTGGGTTTCTGGGTGGGGAATTTCAGGATGAGGGTGGGTTTCTGGGTGGGGAATTTCAGGATGGGGGTGGGTTTCTGGGACATTCTAGACCTTTCGGCAAGTAGTAGACTCTCTTTTGCATATAGGAAATCTTTATAGCTACGTGTATGCTACTTTGAAAACGTTAAATTAATCTTTGCTCCTGATGTTTATAGGATTCATTTGTGCTGGTAGTTGCCAATTGACTTCACTAGGCAAATTTTTGATTAGGTTGAGCTATTTGGTACATGCCAGCTACTTATGTTGATGTCTTGTAAGTGCAATACATCAACAACCACCCGTGAACTTGGTTTACAGCAGGAGACACAAAAAGAAGTAGCCACTTACCAGCCACAACATTAAGCCGTAAGCTACTGCCAGGGAGAGAAACAGAGGACCGTTGGGAGACAAGCAGCTTTTGTATTTTGTTTGTATTGCACTAAAATAGTATGAGGACAAGAGTAGATAATTGTAGTAATTAAGGCTATGTTGCCAATCCTAGTAATGTAATTGTAGTATAAGAAGTAAGAGACTAGTAGGAGGAGGGTATCCAGAAATTTGTAAGAGGAACCTTGGAGAGTTATGGCCTAAAGCCATATTTATCTTTTGAAGCTTTAAGCTTAACAATCAAACAACAACCTTTCGACTTGTTTATTGTCTCAAACGCTAGTTCGTTGCACTTGGTATCAAAGCGAGATGCCGCCGACGCCGATGACGGTGACCCCGGAGAGGGTGGCCGCGCTTGAAGAGAGGATGGAAGAAATTCTCGAGAAGGTCGGAGAAGGAGAAAACTCAATCCAAAACACACTAACCCGGAAGCAAGACCAGTTCATCGATGAGATGAGGGCGATGATGGCGGCGTTGGGTAAACCAACCGTTTGGAGAGGGAAATTTCGGAGAAACACCGCTAGGAGGCAGAGGCCTCAGGTTTGGCAACTGGGATGCCGGCGCGGGTGGTGGAATTCGAAAGCCCAACCAAGACAACCGCGAGGGGGGTGGAAGGTGGAAGGTGGCGATATCGAAAGTTGGAGATGCCGTCCTTCAATGGCTCCGACCCCGATGGTTGGATCCTCCGGGTGAGCAATTTTTTCAGTTCTACGGTTTGACGGAGACGGAGAAGTTACAAGCCGCGGTCGTGGTGATGGATGGCGACGCGCTTCTGTGGTACCAATGGGAGAGTAGAAGGAGACCCATGGTGGGGTGGGAAGACATGAAGAGTCGTGTCTTGAACCAATTCCGGCCGGTGAACTCGGGGACCCTACACGAGCAGTGATTGGCGGTGGAGCAGTTAACGACGGTGGTGGAGTATAGGCGGCTATTCATAGAGAAAGCGTCGCCCCTGTTGGATGTACCCGAAAGTCTGATGAAAGGCCCATTTATCAATGGCTCTAGGGAGGAGATTAAAGCTAAGATCCGAATGTTAAACCCGCTCACTCTTGAAGACGCAATGGATCTGGCAATCCGGGTCGAGGAAAGGAACCGGATCAGCAGCCTTAGGAAGACGGGTGGAGCATTCTCAAAACCGGGCCCATATTCGTATTTTAATCGGAGCCCCGCAGCCACACTCTTGGGAGCTGCCAGCCCAAAAGACAACAACCACACAAAACCCATCAGTTTCTAGCCCAATTCGCTCAAGCCCACCTATTAGCCAAACACACAACCCAACCCATTCCATCCAACACTCAGCATCTTCTGTTAACCAACCATCATCATCCTTTCTCAACCGATCGAACTCCGGCACCACCAGGTTTAACGGGGAAGTCCGGTGGCTCACCAATAAGGAAATTCAAGATACAAGAGCAAGGGGTCTTTGTTTTCGTTGTGACGGAAGGTGGACGGGACCTACACATGTGTGTCCCGCTAAGGGGCTTAGCGTACTGATGGTGGAGGAAGAGGAAGAAGAGAATGGAGTGGAGTTCACAGCCGTGGAGGCCCCGGAGCCGGAGTGTGAAGTGACGCCGGTCTCGGTTTCCATGAATTCAATAGTTGGGTTGTCTAATCCAAAAACAATGTGACTCAAGGGGAAAATTAAAGGGCACTCGGTGGTGGTAATGATCGACCCGGGGGCCACGCACAATTTTATATCACTAAGAACAATTCAGAGCCTCGGGTTAAACGTCTCCGATGACGCTAGTTTTGGCGTCTCACTTGGGAATGGGGAAACAATCAAGGGCAAGGGACAATGCAAGGGGGTGCGTGTGGAGTTGGGAGATGGAATCGAGATAGAGGAGGATTTTTTGCCTCTTAAATTGGGCAATTCGGATGTGATCATGGGTATTCAATGGCTTGAAAAATTAGGAACCGTGCTCACAAATTGGAAGTCACAAGAAATGAGTTTGTCCATGAATGGGAAGACTATGGTGGTTAGAGGGGATCCCAGCTTAGTGAAATCGGGAATCACCCTTAAAGCTATGATCAAAACCTTGAGGAAACAAGAAGGGGGCGATTTAGTGGAGATGAACGAGGTTGAGCAGCAAGTTGGCAGCCCAATAGAAGATGGGCCGAATAGTGGGCCACCAGAATTTTTGAAGGAGGTGTTAGAGGAGTTTGCTGGGTTCTTTGAGAGTCCAAGTGGGCTTCCCCCAAGTAGAGGCCATGAGCATTCCATAGTTCTCAAGGAAGGGAGTGACCCCATTAGTGTTAGGCCTTACCGATATCCCCAATTTCAAAAAGACGAAATCGAGAAGCTTATCGAAGAGATGTTGCAAGCCGGCATCATAAGGCCTTCCACGAGTCCTTTTTCGAGCCCGGTGCTTCTAGTCAAGAAGAAGGACGGGTCGTGGAGATTTTGTGTGGATTATCGGGCTCTCAATAAGGAGACCGTTCCAGACAAATACCCAATTCCGGTGATCGACAAGCTACTAGATGAGCTTCATGGGGCCCGATTGTTTTCAAAGCTTGACCTTAAGGCCGGATACCACCAAATCTTAGTGCGGCCGGAAGATACCCACAAAACCGCGTTTAGAACGCACGAAGGGCATTACGAATTCCTCGTCATGCCTTTTGGACTCACTAATGCTCCGGCCACCTTTCAAGCTCTTATGAATGAGGTATTCCGACCCTATCTTCGTAAATTTGTACTTGTCTTTTTTGATGATATTCTAGTGTATAGTGCTTGTGAAGATGATCATGTTGCTCACGTGAAATTGGTGTTAGCTACACTCAAAAGGCACTCACTGTTTGCAAATCTAAAGAAATGTGAGTTTGGTAAGCCCAAGGTGGCTTATTTGGGCCATGTTATTTCTAGTGAAGGGGTTGCAATGGACCAAGATAAAGTGGGCTCCATGATCACTTGGCCCACACCGAAATCATTGAGAGATTTAAGGGGATTCTTGGGGCTTACGGGATATTACAGGAAATTCATACAACATTATGCACACATTGCAAGGCCTCTAACAGAGCAACTCAAGAAAGATAATTTTGGGTGGTCGACGGCGGCCGAGGAGGCGTTTTAAGCCCTCAAACAAGCCATGGTCACGGCTCCTGTACTGATTATGCCAGATTTTTCGAAGGACTTTGTGGTGGAGTCCGATGCTTCGGGCTACGGTCTTGGAGCGGTGTTGATGCAAGAAGGAAGGCCGGTGGCTTTCTTTAGCAAGGTGCTCGGTCCTAGAGGGCAAGGCAAATCGATTTATGAAAAAGAACTCATGGCGGTGTGTCTAGCCGTTGAAAAATGGAAGCACTATTTGTTGGGTCGGAAATTCGTGATCCGGAGTGATCAACAAAGCCTCAAGTACATAACCGAACAACGAGAAATCAGAATGGAATTTCAGAATTGGTGCGCAAATTGGTGGGGTTCAATTTTGTTTTGCAATACAAGCCCGGGGTGGCCAATCGGGTGGCTGACGCCCTCTCACGGCGGGGCGGGGGTGAAGGGAGTGAAACAGGGGAGGAATGTAATGCCCTGTTGGTTACACATAAGGTAGAGTGGGAGTCTTTAGTTCTTTACACAAGGAGATCGAAGAGAGCCTCGAAATTCAGAAATTGAAGGCTGAAGTGGAGCAGGGGCAGGGACCACGTGGCTATTCGGTGGAGAACCAAAGGTTGTTGTACAAGGGCCGTGTTGTTCTCCCGCGAGATTCAGCGAATAAGACGGCCTTGCTGCGAATTTACCACGATTCCCCGGAGGGAGGTCACACCAGTGAGACAAAAACATACTTGAAGATGGGTTCGGATTGGTTTTGGGGTGGAATGAGGAAAGACGTGGCAGCATACATACGCGGGTGTTCGATTTGTCAAAGAAACAAGCACTGCCAACAATCGCCGGCGGGGTTGTTGCAACCGTTACCCATCCCGGAGAGAATATGGGAAGACATAAGTATGGATTTTATCGAGGGTTTGTCGTGATCGAAAGGGGTGGACACGATATTTGTAGTGGTTGATAGGCTATCGAAGTACGCTCACTTCATAGGGCTCAAACACCCATTTACTGCTTATACGGTTGCCGAGGTGTTTGTGAGGGAAGTAGTCAGACTTCATGGGATTCCGTCAAGCATCGTTTCTAACAGGGATCGAGTGTTCTTGAGCAGTTTTTGGAGGGAATTATTCCGGTTGCAGGGCACGGAATTGAAGCGAAGCACGTCGTACCACCCCCAAACTGATGGGCAGTCGGAGGTGGTGAACAAAAGGCTAGAAACATACCTACGCTGTTTTACAAGTGGGCAGCCTAAAACGTGGGCTAAATGGCTTTCTTGGGCCGAGTATTCGTATAATACGACACCTCATGCCTCAACCCAAGTGACCCCATTCGTAGCGGTGTATGGGAGGGAACCACCCAAGTTAATTCGAGTGGCCACAGGGCAAACCACGGTACTTGATGTTGATGAGGTTTTGCAAGAGCGGGACTTGATGTTGGATGAGTTGAAATGGAATTTAATGCGTGCCCAGCAGATCATGAAGAGAAATGCGGATGGGAAGCGTAGGGAGGAGGAATTTGAAGTCGGGGATTTTGTCTACCTCAAGCTACAGCCCTATCGTCAGAAATCGTTGGCAAGAAGGCCATTTGAAAAGCTGGCCGCGCGCTTCTATGGGCCTTATGAGATAGTGCAGCGTGTGGGAGAGGTTGCCTACTAATTACTCCTTCCCGAGCAATGCCGCATTCACCCCGTCTTCCATATTTCTCAACTGAAGCGTGCTGTTGGGGATGTGCCAACTTCCACTACCATTCCTACTCAGTTAACTCCGAAGTTAGAATTAGTAGTGGAGCCAGAGCAAGTGTTGGAGGTGAGGCACAAGGGAGGGCAGCACAGCAACATTGAAGTGCTAATCAAGTGGTTAGGAGTGCCCGAGTTCGAGGCCACTTGGGAGGAAGCCGAAGCCATCAAAGAGCACTTTCCGCATTTCCACCTTGAGGACAAGGTGGCGCTTTTGGGGGGCGGTATTGCAATACATCAACAACCACCCGTGAACTTGGTTTACAGCAGGAGACACAAAAAGAAGCAGCCACTTACCAGCCACAACACCAAGCCGTAAGCTACTGCCAGGGAGAGAAACAGAGGACCGTTGGGAGACAAGCAGCTTTTGTATTTTGTTTGTATTGCACTAAAATAGTACGAGGACAAGAGTAGATAATTGTAGTAATTAAGGCTATGTTGCCAATCCTAGTAATGTAATTGTAGTATAAGAAGTAAGAGACTAGTAGGAGGAGGGTATCCAGAAATTTGTAAGAGGAACTTTGGAGAGTTATGGCCTAAAGCCATATTTATCTTTCGAAGCTTTAAGCTTAACAATCAAACAACAACCTTTCGACTTATTTATTGTCTCAAACGCTAGTCCGTTGCAGTAAGACGTAGCTTTCAGACTGCCAGGTCTTAGATTGAGGGTTTTTATCTGGTGTTCTTTAAATAGCAAGTAGCAAACATGTTTTTTTGTTATATATATTTATATGATACTTGCATACGTCTGTTTTTCCTAATAAATGAGAGAACACTCAAGTCAGTAATAAGTCACACTTGTTGCTTTGTCATTTTCTCAAACGGAATGAGAAGATGATTAAAGTAAGCTTTTCTTCCATCTGGCCAGATTATAACCATACTTGCATTACCACCCCTAAAGAAATCACCTGAGAGAAGACTCTTGTGAACTGCATGTAATGTTACTATGTTAGCAGCTAGCTAGATTCCAGGCATCTTCAGACAAAGCTAATAGTGTTTTTGCTGATTGTGCTCTGTTGTGATCTGGCTATGGGATACAGATCACGAGAATGTATTTCATTGAAATTAAGTCAAATGGACATGTAGCGTGTTTCAGCAATAGTTGAGCATCATCTTATCATGATTTTTTAGGACAATGCCAGTGTTTTATACCTTTTATTTATTTATTTTTTTAATAATATCCACGACTCCACGAGTGTTTTATACCTTTTTTTTCTTTAAATATTCACCCTTGCTATCCTTGGAATTGACTGTTTCATAAATTCTAAGTTGACTAAAATCTCTGTTGTTTGGTTCTTATTGCAGGCATGTCAATGCCTTTATGATAGCATGTTTGACTATTTTGGATGGTACCCAGGAGCTCCTGCAAGAAGGAATACTTGCAGAGAAAAATTCCCCCCTTCCCCCCCTTTTAATCACCATTGATTTTATGTAGCATCAGGGAGAACATGACATGCTTTGGTTGGTTAAAATACTACAGTGTATGTCTTTCTAGACTCGAATTCATATGGAATCCATGTTTGTTGCTCACATCGCATTCATGTGATGATCAATAGACCTTTCAGGATAAGGGAACTTATCTGCCAATGATTATTAAGCTGCCTTCAAAGTTTTGTGATTTCTTTTAATGGATTTTATGATTTTTCAGTCATCATAAAAATGTAAGTATCATTGTCACTTTGGCCTTGGAGGCTTGATTTGAGTCTCATTGCATCCATTCTAGCAAAACTCTACCTCATTTCTCTAAAGGCGCACTGATGCTATATGCAGTCACTGATGATGTTATATTACAGGTTGCCGGGAACGTGATCCGCATTGAGTCTATCCACCCCTTTTGTGAATCAGAAACAAAATACCCTTTCGATTTTCAATGCTTTAACAAACTTTATCAGGTTTTCTCAAATCAATAGCCTAGTGAGTAGTGACTTTGCTTCGCAGCTCGGCAACAGGTAGCAATGTCAATTATACCGTACTCCATAAATGAATGATCACAGCATAGTATTTTCTATTGATCTTCTCATTAAACATACTGGACGATAAATGCATGGAGATGGATGTGACTTCTGATGTCAAAATGTCTTCAACCATACTTAGACATGCTATTATTATTTTCAAAATGCTTTTGCGCTTCAAGAAAACCAAGGACAAATAGTAAAATACTATACAAATAACAGAGTAAACACAGTACACAAATTTGAGAATCGTTTATAAGATTAGATTACAAAATGAAACAAAACAAAACAGAAATAAAAAATAATAATGTAAAAATAAAAAATAAACGTATTAAACAATCACCTAGTGCTTTCATTACAAGCAAAATGTGAATAATGTGACTACAAGAATTTATTTTAAGAGAAAAAGGGAAGAAGAGTTCTCCAAATCAATTCAACCTGACTATAAGGTGATGTACATCAAATTCAATGCCCACATAGAGATACGCTCAAACTTGGGTGAAATGGCAAAAAAGACGTATATACTTGAATACTAGAATTTTTCAGTTGAGGAAGGCAGAAAATCTCCCCGGAAAAAAGAAAAAAAAAGGGGGTGGAAAATAAATGAACCAAAGTGAGTAAGTTAGCAAAGCAAGCTAATATTCCAAATACATCTAGATTATAATGCAATAACAAGCCATGATATCACACACTCCCGGTCCTACTAGGGGCGGCTTTTCCTCCTGGCTTCGATTTTGCCATATCAACCAGATCTCCAAACAACTTATCGTCTCCCTTAGGTTTCTGCCTCATAGGAGGTAAGTAAGAAGCCATCGAATTCTGGTTGGAAGCATTCTTCAGAGAACTGTCATCTCTCATAGACAAACCGTACATTCTCTGATCAAGATATTGAGCATCAGGCTGCTGTGCATAACCATAGCCGTAAGCTGCCATTTGATTTCCATACATTTGAGCTGGATACATAGAGTTCATCTGAGGAACTGGCATTGCCTGAGGAACCATACCCATCATCTGTCCTCCCTGATAAGGCTGAGGGAACATGCCTGGCATTTGGTTCATCACAGGTTGCACATTCATTCCTGGCATATGACCGCCTGCCATGTGCGGTTGGTACATTCCTACAGCTTGATCATTTCCAGGAGGTTGAGGTGCAAACGGATGCACACCACCCTGGAAATTTGGTGGTTGTTGGCCAGCTACCGGCGAGGCTTGCATTGAAGAAGAATATTGAGGAGTGAATGGCTGGGCTGTATCAGCAGGCTGAGACTCCCATGGTGGTGGTGGCAATGACCCTCCATTCTGAGAACCTGAAAGGCCAAATGTAATGACATGTCAGTGAAAGGCAACAACATCATAACTGCAAGTCTGATCTACCTCCTATATACTATTCAAACTTGGACTACAAGTGTCAACAAGGGCAATGTTTACAGATCATCTATTTATCCCAAAGTGAAAGACCAGATGCTGATTACCCGTGCCAAGGTGCTTTTTGTTAAATAAGTGACCAATGTGCTAGCAGTAAAATGAGAAGAGTAACATAGATCTACCATAAAAAATTTCAGTCTCTATCATAGATTACAAAAGAGCAAAAGAGAAGAGTTAATCACCATAGACAGGTGATGCAGGCTGTGGCTGCTGCTGAGCAACTTGCGGATTCCAGGAAGCTCCTGCAGGTTGCGAATATCCTGCCTGTTCATACTGAGGCGGCCCCATACCTGGAGCCATTCCATTTGCATATGGTGTTGGTTGCCCTGGTTGAAAATTATGCTGCTGTGGATGTTCTGGGCCCAAAGGATATGGCTGACCTTGTCCACCAGAAAAGGCATGCTGAGAATTTGAGGATTCTGGAGTGTTGTCCATCGAAAACATGTCGACAAGAGCTAAAGCATTATGCTCAGAAGGAATAGGACTTGAAGGTGGAGGTGCAGACACCGGAACTAGAGCCAACGAGTCCTGTGCAGTTGGAGTACTAAAATCATCACCTAAAAGATCACCACTCAGGAGGTCAATTTTGGACAATGCTTTGTCTGTTGTAGCTGCAGAGCCATTTGCTTGGGGAGCTGGAGGAGTTGCACCTGAAGCAGAGCTACAAAATATAATATCGATGAGAAAAAAAAAAGTAGAAAACAAGTTATTCATAATTAAATGTAAAATTTGAATGGGTTGCTCAATACTTTTACACTTAGAGTGAATCAGTGATGCATGTGAGATTGTGAGCTTATGGCAAAGTCACCAATACCATGGTCAACTATCCTATTAATGTAGATATACCGGAAATAAAACTGCTCATAGCCAAACTCTGGGTTTAATTTGAAACTTACAAAATAAACCAAAATACTATCCACCACTTTTGGCCTAGCTTACTACCTTAGCCCACATTGTTCAAATAACATTTCCATTAAATTCTTTCAAATTCAAGTAATAAATCTCAGCAAGAATTAAATGATTTGAAAATTAGTATTCTTAACAAGTAATTATATTTGAGAGATTAATGGTCAAAAATCATCCATAAAAGACCCAAGTGAGCATAGAAGCACCTTAAAAAGTTGTGAGGTTAAATTGGAGGTCCCTAGCTCATTATTACCCTCAAAAAATTGGTTCTACCACTAGTCTATGCCAAACTAGGGGGACAGGGAAGAGGTGTATCATTTAACTGATAATTATTGGAAGCGAATGATTAATTCAGATGATCAAAATTTTTGGTGCTGTATTTCATAATTCCCAAATGATGACACTCCTCAAGATAGCCCTTTAACGAGCTAAAAAGTTAAAATAATTTTACATTTATTCCAACTTATCCCAAAAAAGCAATTTACATAAGATGAGTGAAATGCTAATTATTTATACAAGTTATGCAGAAGTTAAATCCTTCAATCAATAGCAGGATATAATTGGTCAAAACTTAATATTACAGTCTGCCTGACGTACTTCAAAAATACTCTGTCAGTGGTCACACTCAAAACTTGATATATGCACATGGGAATGTCAAAAAAATACCAGGAACATTTCTGAAGCATCCCAGCCATACTATCAGTCTACAGCATATAAAACCTAGTATTTTACACAAGACCAAGTAGCCCAGTCTAAACCTTGTTTTTAACCCATGCTTGACAGGAATTTCCAGGCCCCTAACAGCCAATATTCAATAGGTTTCTAGCTGACCTGGTCAACTTAGTCAGACCACTTTGGCCCATTGTGTTAACATTTTATTGTCAAAGCCCCATCCGCTGGATACAGATAAATCACAATACCAAGCACAAGCAATGTGATGACAACAAACATAGACATGTCAGTTAATTTCTTTATACAAAGTTCGGGCCAAGCCATTTACACAAATTGTAAATACCGAGAAACATAACTACTAATTAGTTAAGCCAAACAGACAATATAATTCAGAATTATACAATCAATGCAGATGTACCTTCCATCAGTTTGTTTGCTGCTCTCTCCTGTATCAACCAAAGGAGCGTCAACATCTACAAGCCCTTTACTAGATTCAGGTTTCGAGTTCTCTTGCGGCACTTTTATTCCTGAAGAAATAGCTTCATGCTTTGCAAGTACTCTCTGCAAGTCATCATTCAAAGCCAGGCCTTGGCAAAGCAGTGATTCATCCCTGAAACCAGAATGATGTTTAACTTCAGAGAACAACAGTCTAACTAATCTAACTTACAAGCACAAAAATTGAGCAGATTATTAGATCTTTCAGAAGTTGCAACCAATCCCATCAGAAGAAGAAATATCAACTACACAGACACAAGTACAATATGTAGTACAAGTTAAGAGTAACTAATAAAACCTTACTACCACACCCTAATCGTGTACATAATCAGCCTTTTATCAGTGGAGAGCTAAGCCGGGGCAAGGCAGAAACAGAGAGCAGAATAACTATAAAAGTATACACTTTAGCAGTTTGGCTTGATGAACAAAGCAAATGCACAGCTATGGATGATAACTCTTGTTACTGCAATTTTAGTTCGGAAAAAAAGCATTTACAAATTGTTTTAAATAATTAACAAAATATCATGCATAGATGCCTAAATGAGCCGATTCTATCTTGGCAATAGGTTCTCTATTAAAAATCTACAAAATCTAAAGAGCAAAAAAAAAAAAAAAAAAAAAAAAAAAGGTTAACTAAAAAAATAAAACAAATGATCCCCCCCCCCTCCCCATACACCAAATTTCCAAGAGCAATGTGAGAGAAGTAGGCCTTACGAAGTTGAATTAACTAAATGCACAACTCTTTGCTTGTATGTTCGGCATTGTTCTACCAAATCAACGATTACCTCCTGTCTAAGGCCCTGCAAAGATTGCCAGGAGAAGAAATAAATACCATAAATTGACAAATAAAAATACCAACAGAAGCAGTACTTCTCAAAAAATGTCATTAGAAATTTAAAGCTGCTCATTTCCCAATACAGAGCCAAAAATTAACCTTTCTGGCTAGGAAATAGAGTAACTTATAATAAAAATGGCCTATTTAACTAACCGTTTATAATAATTGCAACTCCGTATTTGTGTAGCACATACTAGTTAAAGTTTTAGACATTCAAGTGGCCTAATCACAAATGAAATCAGGCTCTCTGTTATTGCAAGAGATGTTTTCCATAAAACAATTCCCCCAAAAACAAGATCCTGCCTTGGATAGTGCCCATTCTTAGCATTGATGGAAGAAAGATATCCTTTAATTCAAGATCAATGTTTGTCATATCAATACAGTTAATCACTACCTCAACAAATAATTTTATTGAACACCTTTAAATCAATCTAATTAAAGGATAACTAGCATCTACCTGCTGATAAATAACAAACAGCAGTTGGCAAGGAGTATTATGACTAATACTCATGTGATTAACTAAGTTTACAAATAAGGCCCTTCGATTTTATGTTACTGTTCACAAGTAGTGCAAAATTTTCTGAAAGAGGTACCTTCTATTCTAGCAAAAGACCATTTTCCTAAAAGCTTAAAGAAGTAGTGTTGACATATACCTTTCTCATATTGCTAATAATTTTCAACTACAAATAATAAACAACATTTACCTCTTTGTTAGATGGATCAATTGCACTTAGCAATTCAGACAAGACACCCATAATCCCTCGTGCGTTCTGCATTTCTGACAAGCTATTCAAAAGGGAAACAATAAGTACAAAGAACAAAGAATCCTTAGGGGGTAAATCTAATGCTATTCTTTGATTATAATATTATTAAAATATAAAATAGAAAAAGGTTTCCCCTTGCTCGGCAGATGAATTCGAGCTCATCGGACACTAGCATGCCAGAAAGACTAAATTCCTCTGCCCCTCAGTGAATTTGCTCAATTTACTTGAATAGTTTTACTACAACATCTAAGGGTTAAATATTTGAAAACTGAGGAACAAAATAACATAATCCTACTCAAAAGGGGGAGAACAAAAAAAAAAAAATGATCATTCAAAACTATGGCTAAAAGAGGTTAGAAAATAAACCTTAAGGTGGGAAACTCAGTCTCTGCAGAAGCCTCTGCTGACTCTGGACGCTGCTCTGAATTGAGCACATTTGAAGGATAATTAGACAAAGGCTGTGTTTGTGGCGGTGTAAATACAGGAGCCGACCTTTCTGTTCTCTGAGGAAAAACTGCACCTGCACGCTGATACAAAAGAAGCATATAATCATATAATGATTAAAAAAAAGCACTATATCAGGAAAGTCCCATGAAACCACAGCACGGAAAAAGAAAAAAGGAAAAAAAAAGAAATGCATCATACTCATTTTAGCACATAATACAGATTTAACCCTTCTAGAGTCAAAACAAGTGAGGCAACAGTAAAAAAAAAATACCAATAACTCCTGGTAAGCAGCATAATACTGCGGGTATCGTGCTCTGGGTCCACCAAAAGCTTCTTGCCAAGTATCTATAAGAATCAATATCTTCTCCTTGACATGAAAATCAGGCTACAACAAAAATAAAAAGTAACATGAGCCAAAACCTCAAAAACGGAAAAGTCAATATAGCAACAGTCATCTGCTCTTTTTAAAATCATAACAAAATTCCCAGACCTTCTTTTTAGTAATTTTCACCATCTCGTGAGGTAGATCTTTCTCTGCTACATGCATATGTACGATATCCCCACAGTTCTTTACAATTGTCTCCAGCAGCTACATTTGCAGTATGCAGATAAAATAACCAATTTAGTTCACTGCAACATACGAAGAAGACAAGGTATAAACAGACAACATGCCTTTTTGCAAACTAAGAAGATATGCTAAAATAAGACTACCTCTGTCCATTGATCTGTTGGTCAATTAATTTGCTAACACAATAGAAAAACATGACAAATTAAGATTTACAGAAATAAGCAAGCACAAGCCAACAAAAATAATCAAGGAATCATAACTCATTTCTGCTCCCATGTCAATTAAATGGCAACATAATATTAATCATAAATAAACTATGAGACAATAAATAAGAATACTGTTAGAATAAAAGGTTTTTTAAAAAAACCATATTTATCCTTCCAAAGGTGGTGTGAGAGAAAGTACACGACCTTACCCAAGGATAGACAACAATTGGGAAGAATAAGCATGAACGTTACAACAGCTCAAACTGAAAAATTACAGTTAATATTTCTGTAAGATGCTCACCGTTAGAGCAAGAAGCTGAACCTTTGAGTTCCTGCTCCCAATACGCCTCTTTATGCCCTTCACAACATCCTTAGCTTGCCTGGATAGCCAAAAGAAGCAACACTTAACCATTAAAATCCATTTGCATAAAATATTATCTACAGACAACAGCAGACATCAGACCTAGCTATTAGCAACAAAACTCATATAGGACACTGGCCTTAGTGTCAAAAGCTATGCTTAAGGTAAAAAGTGTAGGAGATATTCCACAGGGGCAACTAACAAAGTGATGTCCTTCTAGCTAATTACATAATTCGCATTACATTGCCTAATGTTCTTAATTCCTTGGTTCCTTTCTAATAATAATTGTACTCCACCGTTCTTGTTTGTTTTACTCAATTTCCATTTATTGCTCCTTTTTGTTCTACTCACATAGCTTTACTCTAATTTAAGCATGCCCCTTTAATCCTTTATCATCTTTGCCCTCATATCCCAGAACAATTACACCTTTCCACACACCCCCTCTTACTTAATTCACCTTTCCACACACTCACCCACTTTTCTATACCCTCTCTCTTAGTTTACTCTACTAATTTTAAACCCACTCACCTTTTTCAAATTGTTCTAAAATTATGTATTTACAGAAATTGGTAAGAACAAAAGAGAATGGAGGGAGTATATAATATGGGAATATGATGGGTTACTCTGAAAATTGTATACATTCTATAACTAATATTCATTATCTGCAATCAATCATAGAATATTTTGTTAAATTAAATGGCTAATTTTTTTTTTGTTTAATAGAAATGCTAAAGTGCACCTTATCCTTTAACCCCTTCAATAGAAGCTAATAGAAAGACAACAATAAATAACACTTTTGAAACCAGTTGCAGCTTCAAAGATGTGAAATCATGAGTAAACACACAAAAGAGAAGGTATAAGGCTAAAGTAACACCCACATTATGCACATCCAAAAACATCATACTGAACGATTTCTAAAGCACCATAATATCAAACCAAGGATAACAGTAGCTCCCACAGATCTCAGTTCTACCTCCTTTATCACTTATTTCTACACCCCTTAGTATCACCTGTCCACATCTATGTGGAACATCCAAATGCCTCTTCTTAAATGATAAGTATTACAATTTAACGTACTATCAAGTACAATAATAATTCATATACTACCTCCGTTACAGGTTATACGCAACGATTTGACATAAAGCAGAGAGGGAAAATGTCTAATCGTTGCACATAACCTGTAATGGAGGTAGTACTATTAAAATTAGTGGCTAGTAAAAATATGTAGACTCTTGAAATAAAAGACACACAGCAAAGTATTTTCTTTTAGGTAAGTAAATACTTGAGTAGAACTGCACCAAACAAACACCAAAGTACAATAAGAGTACAAGATGTCCTTATAAAATAACCCAAATTATCACAGCTACATATTATCCCAATTTCTTAGAATCTCCCTATAGAATAATGTGGGTCAGCACCCACCGCTTTAGCCCTTAAAGAAGCTGACAAGACGACTTTATCCCACAGCATATGTGACAGCCATTTCATGAAATACACGTCGACTCTAGCCACACAGTCCACAAAATAGAATCCTCTACGTCTCAATCAAGAGTAGGTTTTGCTGAAGTGCAAGTCCCATGCATACAAGTAAAGACCAACACAGGTTCATTATGCATAAAAGATATGTGTTAAAGAAGTGAGTGTCAAATACAATATATTGAGTGATATCATGGCTCTCAACAAGATGCACAAATGCTGTTCTGACCAGAAACTAACACCACAGGATCACTATGAAAGTATCAAGCCAGAGTCTAAAATCCCACACATTTGACTACCAAATTAATTGAGTATACCTTGTATACAGTCTTTTACACTGAAACTAACGATTCAAGTCACCATTTCATGTACTTAGTACTTTGTAAGCCACTGTCTAAAATCAACACAGTTCCCTGTCACGGTACCAACTTACACTCCCCTTGATTGCATCATTCCCACAAGTTTCCTAATCATGAATGCGCCCTTAATCCCTTATCCATAATGCATATCAAATTGTTAAGAGTCCATTTACAAAGCACCCAAGTGCCTTCTTTACAAAGATGCACAACACTCTCTTGAGAGTCCTTTTGGCAGTAGAATAACGTTCAAGATTACCACTTGCCCCGTAAAATGACGCTCCATTCTCGGCTAAATATAGAAACACTCCATATAACAGTTCCATTACCAATTAAAGCACACTAAAAAGGCTCACCACTCCATTATTCTGCATATAATAGCCGTTAGACAATCAACCCTAATTAACAAGCAATACAGGTTACAACCACATGAAAATCAACCAAATTATTAACCATTTCTACTAAATCCTCCAACTCTAATCATGTAAAACTAACCCAATTCCTCTCATGATATCCAATTCCCAAAATAGCAGTTTCCCATCTAAACAATTTAACTAAAATCACAATTAACCTAGCTCTAAACATTCAAAATAACCTAATTACCAATCATAAAACAATCAAACAGTAATCACAAAAGAATAAAAATTGAATTACCCAGGATCCTGATTAAGCATATCACAGATCTCGATGTTCATAGCCCAATCAGGTCCGATCAACATATGGGACGTTGCTCTTTCCACCATAGAATTCACCATTTTTATCGAAATACTTCTTCAATCTTCCAAATGCAACTAATTTTCAATCAAATCAAACAAATTGTAATCAAGAATTTTCCGGCGAAATCTCCGATTAGTAAAAACTCCACTCACTGGATCGGATTATGAACCCTAAAATAAAAAAAAATGGAAATCAAAGTTTCGATAATTTTCAAATTTTCTCTCTCCTCACTCTTTCTCTCTCCTCTGTTCCTCCCTCTTGGAGGATTCGATAGGGAAAATTAAAAATGTGAGATCATCTCAAAAATGAAATTCATAGTTATTTCTTTTTCATATAACACGAAAAAAGGAAGGAGAAAGGATAAGATTGTGACACGTGTGATTTTGTTACGTCATTTATGCCGGAAATTTTCTTGGAGCCGTTGGATTGGAATTTTTATTTTATTTTTGTTTGTTTATTTCAGCGGTTTTGTAACTAATTTTTGGACGGCATGGTTTTTGCATTGTAGGAGTAATTTTTGTAGGTGATATAGAATGGGCCACCATATATGAAATCAAGAAGTCAATTTATATTGGGGCATGGGGAGAAATATTGGCGCATACGCCCAATATATTTTGGATGTAAATAGGATGAAAATAATGGAGATCCAAGCGTAGAAAATATGATAACACAAAATACCACTATATGCATAATAATACATATTATTTAAATAATTTATACATGGTACAGTTTACATGTATAGAAGTACACAAAAATGTATTACTGTACCGAAACAAGAGAGAAAATGTACCACCGAATCTCATATTACCCTCCTATGTGCATGTCAAATACATAGGCCCTGTGCGCCTAGATGCACTCGGGGTATGGAACTATGGATTATGGAATGAATTTTTTTATTCTTCATAAATCACCTAAATTGATATACTCCATAAAAGTTAGATACGAATTATATTACAATATAACATTATGAGAAAAGTGTTATCGATTAACCATAAATATTACGTAACAAACATGGTCTCATGACTTTCGTCACCAGCAATGCACCGTGTACATTGAAAGCATTCTTTTTTATCTCATGTCAATCTATTCAGTAAGTTAATTGATGGTTTTACAGATATATACTACGTATGTAATAAGTTTTTTTGTTTGATTACACGGATACGGACATTTTGCATAGAGTTTCATAGCAAATTTTTTAGAAAATAAACAATTTGATCTCACAATGCGGTTATACTTGCATATGTTAAAGATCATTAAATTAAATTTGAATTTAAAGCATTTGCAAATAATAGAGTGAGAATTTGTAGGCTCAATCTAAGAACAAACAAATAAAGAAGTTTTACAAAAGTATTATACAAGTAATTAGTATAAAATTAATTTTAATCATTATAATAATTTAAGTTTAACAAAATTAACGTGTAATCTGTATATTACAATGTCTTACACTAGTCCACTATGTGATGAATTTTTATTTTTATTGACATTTTATGTAGTAAAAATAATCAGAAGATTCATCTAATAAGTAATATCATCACATGCCAATAGTAGGTATCGTACTATATTAACTGACCATTCCACTAAAATGGACAAGCATAGGTAGAAGAAAGTGAACCTCTTTCTCATTGATGACCAACCTTGATAGTGAAAGATTATTGTCAAACGAATACAAACTGATAACTATGGTCCAAGCTATGAATAATTCACTTGCAAACTCCCCAATAATACCCCACTAAGAAAGACTATTTATGTGATCCATCAAAGTGAGAATTTCACACAAAAAATACACGAAAAATATACAAGTATAATTTTTACTTCGTATTTTTTTATTGTTAATTCAAAATGTATATTGATCTGAAGTCACATATATGAGTTTTAACATTTTAGTACACATTATACTCGATTTAATATTGTTTAACACATTGTTTTACAAGAGATCGGATCAAATAAAGTAGAGGAGGAAATGTATTGACTTAAATTCCAATGTATCAATATATTCAGTGCAATATTTCATATAATTAGCTTTAGCTTTAGTTAATTAGGGAAAAAATAATCATATAGGAAGATGAAGATTTGTCCATGTCAGATATGCATTGACTGGCAATAATTACATTTCCTGTTACGGCTGCTAGCCAAGGCTCAATTATGATCATAATAATAACCTTAAAGATAGGCTTAATTAAGACCAATTGATTGATTTGCTTGCTCGGTTATGTATTAATTTATGCCACTTGTAGTAGCATGTTGGCATCAAATATTGTATAGCAGGATAGTGCATGTGCCATGGAATCGATGTTCGTTGTCTTCCATCCAGCCTAAAACATGATCTTAATTCTTACGGAGTACTATTTGTATTTAGGATAGGTGCGACGATTAATTAAAATATCAGGAATTTTAAATTCTCCTCGTGATAAAAGCTTTCTATTATTCTGTTATATTTTTCCTTACCTTTAAAATAAAATGGAGGTTCGGTCTTGATGATTGTGATGAGTTGGGTTTATCGTAGTTGGTTCTTCCATTCATGATCACCTTTTATTGTTGATGTGTTATTACATGAACGTTTCTATTTCATGCATTATGAATTTCAATTCATGATGTATTGTATTTATTACGTAATTACATGCTATTGTCGCTTTTAGGTTTTGATTAGACTTCCAATACTTCTGTGCGAGTTCTTTGTATGAAGATTGCTTAAACTTTAGTTTTCGTTCTTTTTCAAAACTCCATAAATAAAAATCCACGCAAAGAAAAGATTGAAAAACATTGTAAAAGTTGCATGAACAATATAATTGACAAAATATGAAAGTTTAAGAAGATTGAAGATTGATGTGAACAAATCCTTAACTTTGGTGGGGATAGGATTACCACCAACATACCAACTTTATTTTATGGAATCCCACTATGCCACATTACTTCTCTTCTCCTCCTTAAATCTCAATTCAATTGTTTGGTGGACTTTATAATATGTTTGTCCATTTGTAGCCTCTGAAAGCTCATGCAATGTCAGCATCCTATATGCAATAAGTGTCATGGAGCACTCAATATAGCATTATATATTGCACTTCATAATAATAAGTTAATAATTACACATTTCTTTTTAAGTATTCGTAGTCATATGTGGTCTATTATTTAGGGACAAAAAAGTATTATTTACTCTGTATTTGAATGAAGAAAACCTTAAACGACTTTAGTATCAGCATTAACGACAATGATATGGTTAAGGACTCAAAGAGAAATTAAAGCATCTCTTTTGGATGGAATGAAGGAAGGCGAAGCTGGGTTCGTGATAAGCTTAGTTAAAACCAAACATTGTTTATGATGCAGAGATGCTAGATGCTTTCTCATTTCCAAAAGTAATTCTTACTTCTCTTAAATACGAAGTAAACAAAGTATTATAAGGAAATTAGTATGTCATTCTAGTGTACAGCTCCTTGTATAATTCTTTATTCTTGTAATAGCTTTTTCAACTGATCTTTAACAACAAAAAATTATGCTAGGGTTGATATGGGAGGAAACTTTACTATAAAGCAAAAACAACTTGTGCTCTTTGCAAATTTTCCTTTAAGGAAAGGAAACGTCAACAGAAAGAAAGGAAAATATAATACAGCCATCGTCTAATCCGCCTATTAGCCTTTAGCTGAACTTTTTTGCCCTTACCAGTTGTTAATTGAACTTGGGTAGCCGTTCTTTAACCTTAACAGCTCTTCTCTTAACCTCTATATTTTTAATGGTGAGAAGAAAAAAGACGTACCCTCTTAACATCAACCATAGCAGGAAACTTATTCATCCCACTGAATAACTGGATGCTCCAACACATCAGTACATAGCAACCACTCTGCCCATAAGCACCATCTCCTTTGGTCCTTTTTTTATCTGTAGGAGAGGGGACCAGAAAAAAGGCAAAAGTAAGTCCAAAATGCACAATATTATTAAGCTTTTGATGTCCAGAATAGTACATAGCTACGTAATCACAAGTACCATACTAATATACAGAAGAGATCACATTATAATTGCAAGCAATCAGAAGAATATTCAATAATACAGAGGTCAATTTACATGCTGATGGGAACTTGCTGAGATCTTTTTTCCTACCATTGACTCGAGCAAAAAACAATGCATAATGCTCTTTGTGACTAATAAGGAATAGGTGTCCGAACTGTTGATGGGCCTGATTTCATGTCCTGCAGAAGGAGTTCAAGAAGTGCTCGAGCAACAGGACCTTCATTTCCTGCATTATAATCAGCACCACAAAGGCATTAACCGATGTTTAGACATAGCTTATGTCGCAATTTTCGCTTCTGAAATTAAAACTCAAATAGTAAATGTATGAATAACGTTAAGCATCATGTGATATCTTCCCGAGTAGACACTGTCACACATATCTAAATCCAAATTCTTATGATTTCTGTACGTTACTGAGCTGATCAACAACAACGCAGACAGGTTCTAACCACAAGTCTAATGTACTAGCCTCTAGAGACTTTACCAGGATAATCAGAGCTAACATCTCTACTTTCTCATTGTAACATATAAACCTTAAGAGCATTTAAACAAAACAAAGTTCTTACCATTACCAATGACCTGGTCATCCCACTGAACAATTGGACGCACTAGGACACCGCTGCCAAAAAGCATCATCTCCTCAGCATTTTTCCCTTCTTCCACGGTCACATCCCTAGTGCTTACTCCTCGAATGTCACCCTTCTTAACCAGCTCCTGTGAAAGCTTAAGCACTCTCTTGGCCGTACAACCACTAAGGATTTTATCAAATCTTGGCATCATAAGCTCTTTATCATACGTGACAAAGGCCACATTCATATTTGGACCCTCAGCAACAAATCCTTCAGAATCCAGCCATATAGATGCAAAGCAACCATTTTCTTCAGCTTCCATCTGGCATAGTGCATTCGGAAGGTAATTGACACTCTTCATTGTAGCGAACACAGGAGGCTTTATTGGAATGGAAGATGTAATTACTTTGATCCCCGTGTGATCAGATGAGGTTGAACTTTGAGTCACAATGGCGTAAAATGTTGACTCAGCACACCCAGATGGGGAGAGATGAAAGTCACCATGTCCTGCAGAAAGCCAATATCTTAAAGAGCCATTTCTACACTTAGAAGCACTAACTGTCTGAATCAGTATGCTTCTCATGGTTTCCCTATCAAACGGTAAACTGATTTTTGCCATAGATGCAGACCTCACACAACGATCAAGGTGTTGATCCAATTCGTAGAGATGACTGCACATAAGAAGTAATAAATTGGGGCTGAGTCCTTTCCTATGAGTAAACTGGGATATCTAATCAACGTTGATAAGATCATTAATAGAGAAAATTTTGCTTAAGAATAAAGAATGCTAAAAACCAAACTTGACATTTCATCAAGTATTATACATTTGGCATTTCATTAACGAATCATACGTTTTCAGTAATTAAGTTCGATTTTTTTAAAAAATTGTGGCATTAGATCTTTCTCCAGCTTCAACTCTACAACCTCCATCAAACACAATTGTTAGACTCGATAAGTTGACCTCGAACTAACTCATAGATGGATAGTTAACCCATCTATAAAGCACATTGTAATTGTCTATACACAATTAATTCAATGGTATAAAACCAGTCGTGTACTATACAAGGACGAATATGCACAAAGTTTACACCGCACAGATTAGAATGAGTATTGTGTCATTTTCTACCTTTTGCCCTTTCCTCCCCTGCTGCTATAAATCCTTCAACATTCAGGCAATTCACCTACAAGCTTATGCATAACTCGAACCTAATCAATCCTATATGAGGAGGAATATAACATAGTTTCCAAACTATTATCTACACAAAGTCATAACCCCTCTTTTGCACAATCTAAATTATCTAATCAAATCAAAGTAATTCGACAAAAGCATATAAAACAATGTAATGTCATCCAACAAAGAATCATAAACGATACCCTTCCACTATAGTCGCGGTGTCAAAAATCCCATGACCTCTATGTACCATGTGATCATCCATGGGGATGACCATCGCCGCAGGGTCTGTAGTAATTCCACCAAATATACTAGAGTACATAGCCAAGAATTGCTGTTTGCCCTTATGCCTCTCTCTACTCAATCTTAACCTCTCAATTGCCTGAAATTTTCCAACAAATCGAAATTTTTTACTTCCAATAATTATCATAGGAGAAACAGACTTGCTTCTAAGTATATAATTAACTTCTGGATCATATTGACCAATTAAGATACTGTATTATTAGTCTAATTTATGATATTACCAATTAACCTAACAAGTAACAATTTACATAAAAAGAATACATCATACCTCTTCACATGATAAAAGTGGAACTTCCATAATTGGGGTTGTAAAATCTGTCACAACAAAGTTCTTTACATTAAATAATAAACATAAATAAAATTCGCAACTTTAATCAACTGACAAGATATTAACACTGAATAGCAAGAATTTGGTACAAGTGTACAACAAACAACAATCAAGTTTAATTACAACTTTTACAAGCTAACTAAGTACAGTAGTAAATGTGATAATTGAAGGAAATTATCGTAAACCCAAAAAAAAAGGTACTGTAGGATTTTGGACTTACTAATTAATGATTGAGCTTGATTTGAGAGTCTAACAATTCCAAGATGAGAGCTTGGAAGCCTAAATCGACGAAATGGGTGGTTTGTTGTAGCAGAAAACTGGGAATTATACAGCTGGTAATTCTTGTAAATTAGTTGATTATGTGCGATTTGATTTGGGGAAATTCGAAGAGAAGCAGGCCAAGCAGCCATCGGAGTATTCAGTATTGGCCTGGCGGAATGGCGGGTAGAGGGAAGTGTAAATGTTAATAGGCGATTTTTGTTTATTGGTATTGACTTTTCCCGTGTTCGGTGTCCACCCATAGGCAAAAAATAGTTAAATTTCTCTGGAAATTTGGCTATTTTCAACCTTTTTCCTTAAGTTTCTTTATGATTTTGTTATTGAATCAATAAATTTGAAGGTAATAAGGGGTTGTTTGGTTGGGGGTAATCAGGAAAGGGAATGGAAATCAATTGATCGATTCCCTTTGTTGATGTTTGTTTAACACTATTAATAATTCCCTTTGCCCTCCTCATTACTCCAAATCCTTCTAACTCCATTCCCCACTCCCCTTAGACTTTTCCATTCCCTTTCCATATATTGGGTTAGTATGGTACGAGTTGTTTCATGCGTAAAGATTTGTGCGGGATCGAAGAAAAGGTTAATCGTTCGATTACAATCAAATGAATTAGACGAAATTTTTTTTCATAGCTACAACAGATTGATAGACCCTCTCGTCAAAGAAGGTTATAAATCACAGCGATAAGAGGGTATGAAAAATGTACAATTTGCAACAATAATAGTAGGTAAGGATGTTTTTATTTGATTCAATTATCATGTATTTATTAAATTTTAATCTCTTTGTAGATGTTGTATGATTTTTTTATTAATGGATCGGATCAATATTTTTTTTTTAAAAAAAAAAAAAGTTTGTAGTTTAGCAATAAATGTTAGCCAAAAATAATATCTTAGTCAATTTTACTTAGTTTACTCCTTCCATCCTGTGAGTCTGTGACAAGGGTTTGATTATACTTTTTTTTTTTTTTTTTTGAATAGCGGGTTTGATTATACTTCAAGCAAGCTTTCCTACTTATAAGGAAATTGACCTTTGAAAAAAAAAAAAGGTAACATTTCCTATGATAGCAAAGTGGTCATTGCCTCATTGGGATTACTAGAAGCAAAGTGATAATAAAGCTGGGATTATTAGATAATAGGAATTATTAAAAGTAAATCAATCATAATTAAGATTATTAAAATGAATTTTCCTATATTTTAAGGCATATTTTAACAGTTCTTTAAGGGCTTTTTTGTACTTTGTAGTAGTGATATAAGTTAGCCCACCCTAGAATTATAGTGCAACTCTGATATAAATGTACAGTGTGTAATATGGAGATTAACAACTTACTCATTAACCTAATGTTATCTTATAGTACTTTCAAGCTAGATGCAAGAGTTGAAATAATTTGAGTGTGATATGGGGTAAATTAAATCCTGAGCATTAACAACTTACTCATCACCCTAATGTATCTTATACTTCCTCTATATATTTTAGAAATATTGCAGCAATATAATGAGAAAAAACATGAAATCTAAAATAAATAGAGAAATAGAGAGATAAATTGAATTTATAGGGCCAGGAGCTATGTGACTAATAGAGAGATAGAGATTAAAGAATAAACATATGCAAATATACTACGAGTAATATAACAATATTTGTGAAAAAACTTAAAGTGGAAATTGTTACAAACTTACAATATTTGTAAAAAAAATTAGAATGCATATTTTGTTGTAACATTAACAACAAGAAAGGAGGAAATAGTAGTGAATAGTACCATAGACCCATAATACTCTCAAGAATTTGACTGCAACATATAATAAATGACAACATAAAAATGAAAAAATTTAAAATAAAAAAATCCACTATCAATTAATCTAAGATTACGCCTTCCAAAAGTTAAGTATAAACCATGCCTATCAAAAAAACAAATATAAACTATGTCTATCAATAATTCAATATACTTCGCAAGTTCGAATCACTCAAACTCGAAAAACTATGCTTTACATATTCTTACATACCTAATACGTAGTCTATACAATATACTAGCTATCCATTTTTAATAATTAACACCTAGTCGCAAACTTCCCAAGGATTACTAGTAACATCCTTGGAACGTTGTCGCCTTTTGCAATTGAAATTGGCCATTAGAGCGATATGGTCTGATGGCCACTCCGAGGAAGGCAGGTGCGTCTCCTCTATCAGGTCCAAAAGGCCGACAACTAAAAAGTCGTCTCCTGTCATTACAAAAACAAGCATGATATGTTAATAATATTATATAATATTTGGTTCGGGAGTAAACAAATTTTATATTACATATTTATAAACATATACTCCCTCATACGTACTTGATGTTGCATATGTTTCTTTTATCACTGGTAGATTCTTTGAAAATATTCAAAGCCAAAATCTATAAACTAAAACTAAAAAGATAGAGTATATAAATAAGGAGTACACTAACCAGAGTAAAATATGTAGTCTAACGTGCCTTTAAAGACGTATCCAGAAGCCTCTTTCCTAGAAGTTGTGAAAATTGGTTCACTGGTTTCCAAATCCATGAACCTCGATGAACCTATCGCTGCCCGGCCACACTTAAGAAGCTGAGCATATGCGCTTTCCTATAATTATAAACAAATTTAACACATTAGCATTAACAATTAATGCTATTATTATTATTATTATTATTTATTATGATGTTACAAAATTTGGAAAGCTAATGTTTTTTTTAAGATTAGAGATGAATAATTGAATACCAATCGGATGGTAGGTTTTAAAAATCTCCCGATGCCACAAAGGTCTTCTGCCGTAGGAGCTACGAGCTTTCCCTGGGTGATCAGGTTGTATGGGTCACTAAAAAGTACAAAGTTAATATTAGTAGCAAATAGGTAAAGACATCTTTATTATTTTATAAAGGAAAGTAAGAGAAAGAAAGGGATGAAAAAAAGATAAGAAAGGGGTTTAAAACAAAAACAAAAACAAAAAAAAACAAAAAACAAAAAAAAAAAAGGAATGGAAGGAGTTTTTTTTTATATATATAATATGTAGTTTGGTTAATTAAGATAAGAAATTTACTTATGCATCAAATTAAAAAAATAAGAGATTTTTTTTTAAAAAAAAGTAAAATTAAGATAAGAAATTTGATTCACAACTAATTGGATGTACGGAATACGGAGTAGTATATTTTTCATGTTCTTATCAAAAAAAAAATATATATATATTTTTCATGTGGCACACCCGCACAATAATGTGAATGAAAATGTGAGATTGCTCTTCTTTTTAAACGAGAATGTGAGATTGCTATTAACAAGCTAATTATGGATTTAATTCAGATCAAAATGACGGTTCCCTTGGATGATATGGAGTAAATTGATAAGTGCTAAGTGGGGTGGCTTGCGCTTGCCTCATGTAGTCAGATGGTCCCAGGCAATAATCCCTTTTTTAAAATACTGTAGTAGTCGTAATAAAGATCATTTTAGGATATTTTTTTAAAGGAAAATCTAATTTTCTTTGTTGGGTTGTTTATATTTTGTTTAATTTTTCCTTTATTTGGCTTGTTTAGTTATCTTGTTTTTATGATATGATTTGATTTGATGCAATCATCTGATTTGACCAAATATGATGATCTTGTAAAATTTTATTAATACAAGTACATAATTTTTATTACAAAATTGAAGATATTTAACAATAAAAACAAAGTATAAAACAATAAAAAAAATTTGAATTTTTTTTTTTTAATCTGAACTAACTTAATATTTTCTATTTAAATTATTGTTCCCTTTACCTCTCTCTTGTACCTAAAAAAAAAAGGCCATAAAGAAAAAGGCAGTTTTGCCCTCCCAAAAAAAAAAAAAAAAAAAAAGAAAAAGGCAGTTTTACCCTAATATCACGGGGCAGACCGCACACTCTAAAAATTGAACCAAATTCTCTCTCCTCACACCTTCAAAACCTCATTCTCTCGCCTCCGAAACAGATTAAGTGAAGAAGAAGAAGGGGGCAAATCTCATTATTGATGTAAGCTTTTAAATTTTCTGTCATAATTTTTTATTTTGCCCGTTAATGATTAACCCCAAATTCAATAATATTCCTCTTTAATTGATTTTGCGTTCGTCAATTAGGGTTATCTTCGTTTACACTCATCTTCAACCTCAATTTCTCTTTGATTTCTAGCAATCAAGCTCTGAATTTTTTCTAAAAAAATTGATTTTTCAGCACGTAATAGTCCTTTCTACAAAAACCCTCTGTTAATTTGTGATTTGGTTTGCTGAATTCGAGTAGATCTACGTTTTTTTATTACTATTCAGTTTCACTCTCCTCTAAAATTCGAGATCTGGATTTTTTTAGGCGATTCGTTGTTCGAATCCGTGAGTTTATATTAATTTGAGGGTTTTTCACGGTTTTCGTAATTAAATGTCCAAAAAAATTTGGTGATGGTGATCTGGGTTCGGCTTGTTGTTGTGATGAGCAAAACCCTAAACGTTGAAGGTCCTGGTGGTGTTCCTCCTCAGTCAATCAAGTCCCTTGTTGATCCCAAATTACTTGATTAATGTGAATGACATAGCTAAGTATTCTTCCCTAGTTTGATCTCTGTAATTGGTTGATTTAAGCATATTTTGATTAGATTAGTTGTATTGAGAATATATTGGATGCCAGCAAGTGTGATCTCTTGCTGGCCAGGGGATTTATGTGTGTTTTTGTGTGATTGATGGAGGTGATGAGCATGATAGAATTGATTTAATAGTTACTCCGTATCATGTTTATGTGATGCTATACTTTAGCATGTTTATGCTGCCTATCATGTTTATGATGAATTATGATGTTCATTTATGATGCATATATTGTTTATGAATTATTATACCTGTGGGTTTGGATATGATGCCTAGTGTTGCCTTTAATGATCATCTATGTTGCCTTAATTGTTTATGATGCTTATGGCCTTGTGGGTTTGATTGTGATGCCTAAATTGTCTGACAGTTGCTTATGTGATGCCTAGCATGTTCAATTATGATGCCCTGATTTTAAAAATCATCTAGGAAGGTGTAGACTGTAGAGTACCTTTTAGGAAGCGTATTGAAATCCCCTGTTGCGATGATGGGGATATTTTTTTCTTTAATTGTTTCAAGCCCCTTCAGCAGCATGTAGACCTAAGAAAACAGAAATTATCATTAGAAGAAACCGTAATTTACAACCAAAATCAAAATTTAGTAGAATACCAAATAATTACCTGAAGTAACTTCACATCAGGGAGTTGAGGGCTGGATACAATATGCACATTTGATATGCATAAGCGTGTTTTACTTTTGCCATGATTGTAATCTAAAATGAGGGCAAGACCAGCACTATCTATCTGAAAACGCCTTTGAGTGTCAGGCGGAAAATTGTGTTTGCGTAGGAAGTCCGTTGTTATCTCATGAAATTTAATCTACAAAATAAAAACACTTCCTGCATTTAGGATTAGGTGAGAATATAATGACAATAATGTAGTCCATCCTCATATATTGCTTCCAAACCAGTACTAGCATAATGTATGACTCATTTAGATTTTTGCATTAGATCTAGGAGTATTACAGCTAGTCAGCCATCTAAATGGGTGGATTTTTGCATGTCTATTTGTAATAGATTAAGCAATTTATTGTAATTTAACAAATAATTAAAGAAATGGAAGGTTGGTAATTGATTGATTAATTCGTTAATAAGGGATACAAGTTAGCTAGTTGAGGCTGCCAATCTCCTAAGCAACTTTAGGTTGCAAATTGAGCCCATGGATCTAAATATCTAATTGCCATAATAGTAGACATAATATTAGATACTCCTAGAACTGAATTGAGCCCATGGATCTAAATATCTAATAGCCCATGGTCAACTGAATTGAGCACCGTTGGAAACATTAATCTGACAAAAAAAAATATTAGATGCTTCCCATCTCACACTAGCCATTGTTGAGGTTGGTTTATGGTGGAAACCCCACATAAATTGTTTTATTCTCAGGAACTGATAACTGAAAATTATCATCTAACAAAAATAGATAATTTTTAGTGCAAGTTATGGATTTCTTTTTTGGTGAAACATGGCGAATTAAGTGTACGATTGTACCTGAAATGAAGCATGTAAATGAAATTTGTCACTTTTGAAAATAGTGACACAGGCCAGCCTTGTTTCCCTATTTTGTGTATATACTTGCTCTTGGGTGGCTGAAATTTCATAAATATATCCCATTTCCTTCATTTCTTGGTTAAATTATTCATCAATATTGTGTTGCGGGCCATAGCATTCAAGTTCTTGAATGCAAATTACATCTGCCTGGTAGTATTTGATCTCTTGGATGATTTTTATCCTTCGAACTTCCCATTGTAAGTCTGTAGATTTACAAGTCGAAAACATCAATGTATTGGCTAAGTGATTAGCCAATACATTATATTTTAATACCTTTATTTTATAATTACTGGTTTCATCCAGTAATTGTAAAATTTTCCTGCAAATCACCATCAGAATCATCAGAATTAGGTAAGTTCAATAAATCTTTTGGGAAAAAATAAAAAAGAAATCATTGAAAGAAAATTTACAGTATTACCGTTCCATGATACACTTCTTTTCTTGAAAAAGAAAGTTTATTTGAGTTTGATTACTGACAGAACGTTTGACTGATCTTCTGACAAAAATGGAAAGTCTTTTTGAGTCTCAGAATTTTTTCAAATACTGACAAGAATTTTGAGTCTCAGAATTTTTCAGAATTTTTTCAAATACAGTTTATGCTTGTAAAAAATGATTACTCTTTTTTTAATTATTATGGTTTTTTATTGTATTAAAAAATCAAGAAATAAGATTCTTTCTTTTAAAAAAAACAAGATTTAATATTTTTTAATAATACAGTACTGTAAAAGATAGAGATTTAAAAAAAAAAAATCAAGAAACAAGATTCTACTTTATTTTATAATAAAAGTTATCTTTTTTTTAATATTTTTTTAATAATACAGTACTGTAAAAGATAGAGATTTTAAAAAAAAAATCAAGAAACAAGATTCTACTTTATTTTATAATAAAAGTTATCTTTTTTAATGTAAAAGATACTTTGTATACGAAGTATTATACTTGTAGTGGGAGTAGGTTTTTTTTGTTATTTGTGCCTATATACATATATGAAGGCAATCATCTACGCTTTAATTGTATACTAGTATTATTTATTTATTCACTTATTTTTTTATTTAGGTGCTAACAATGGCGTCCTCCTATATTCCTGTAAATGTGATGTTTGATATTTTGGCAAGGCTACCAGCAAAATCTTTGTTGCGGTTCAAGTGTGTATGCAAAGAGTGGTACAATCTCATCAATAGCTCGCCTTTTATTCAACATCATCTTACGAAGTCTATGGAAATCGATTCCCATCTTCATGATAGTCTATTTATTTTTACCCAAGGCGAATTCCTTTATCTTGGAGAAAATATTGAGTCTCCCTCTCAAGTTGTTAAATTAAATTTGGTGCCTAAAAATTGTATTAGTTCGGACATTCGTGTTATAGGTACATGCAATGGCTTGGTTTGCCTTGAGATCGGTAATAATAAGGGCTTCATAATATTCAATCCATTAACTTGTATTTTTAAACCAGTCCATTGCAATTGCCCGGTGATGAAATATTATAATAGGTGCATGGAATATGGGTTTGGCTATGATAGTCAAAATGTTGATTATGAGATTGTCGTGATAATGTTGGGAGAAGTTAGAGACATTTGGATTTATAGTTTGAATTCGAATTCATGGAGAACAATGACAACGACTTGCTCACAACTGCCTCACAACTGCCTCGACTTGTACCTCTCCAAAAAAAGTTTTATGTTCCTCAATGCCCTAGTATGTATAGAAATGGTATGCTACATTGTGTTCTCCGAGGGGTCGATGATGTATCCCAAATAAATTTGGATTTGGAAGGTAATTTAATGGGTGAAGATAATATACATCTTCGAATGGCTTGTTTTAATCTTTCTACAGAAGAATGGGAGGATGAGGACTTGGGTTTTCCAAATACTGATCCTGATGATGATACTATACTTCGTGTCTATTTATCGTTTTTGAATGGATGTTTTTGTCCATCTCTTTTAACTTTGAATTTTATAGATGTATGGATCAAGAAAGAATCATGGACTAAATTGTGTCGTGTATCACGCCACAATAAGGAATTGGTATCATTACAATGTCCTCTCATTGCTTATACGAGTACAAGATCGGAAGCTTTATTGTTCCACTACGCTAAACATCCTAATCTGGTCTGGTATGATCTCAAATATGAAAAGTTGGAGCAATATGAAGGTCGCATCAATAGTGGCTACATCGGCTATGTAAATCTTTGTGTAGGAACCCTTGTTTCTATTCCAGAGGGCCAGCGGGCTCCCAAAGCTAATTATGTTGAAGAGGGTAAATTAAATAAACCAAAAGACAATAATTTGCCTGCCTTGCCAAAGAAATTGGAGAAGAAGTTTAAAGGAAAGAAAATATTGTACTATTCGTGGAATAGAACGTCTTAGCGCAAAACTTGTATAATTGTATTGCATGATTGCATCAATGTTAGTACTAAGCTAGCTCTAAATACATCTATTTTAATATTCTTCGTTCTTTATTTTGTTGGAACTTAATCAAGTTTTATGTTTTTTTTTTTTTAATAAATATAATTTCTTATTTGTAATAAAAAAAAAAGTACTCCGTATTACTTATCTTGATGTGCTTATTATTATTAAATGCAAGTGAATTGAAAGAAGTTTTACCTTCTAATGTTTACCACTAGAAATCTAGAAATGAAGCTCTATGTCTCACGTACTATTAGCTCTCTAACAAAATTAGGATAGCTCTTAATCTCCTTTTTTTTGGGTGTAAATCTTTGATAATTAGTTGAAGATACAGGGGAGATAGTTTCATTGGTCATGAATTCATGATATTCTACCATATCAATAACATAACCGTGCAAGACAACAAAGTATAATTGTACAAAGAGGTGTCGATTTTGGTGTGTGGATTACGTCAAGAGCGATCTGGTTAGATAGATTACTGTATTTATACAAGTTGAAATCTGAATTTTTTTTTTTTTTTTGGATCGAGACGTGTCGATTTTGACACCTCTAATTGTACCTGAGATTTTAACATAAATTTTTTTTTAGTTGACACGTTTCCTTTTAGGGTAACTTTTTTGCCTTACATTTACAAGCTACCCCACTTGTTTTTTCACTCTTTCTCAATCTCTCTCCTCTCCTTAATATATGTGTCTAAATCAAACGCGTCAACTAAATAGAAACGGAGGAAGTATAATGTAACAAGACAATAATGATTTGATTGACGCCACTTAAAACTTTAAAAGTTACTTCATTAACCAAATAAGCTCGATATACAAATTGAATGCTTGTATATACCTGTCATGAAATAATTAATGATGTGGATCAAGAATCTTGATTTATTTTATGTAGGATTTATTTTTGGAAAAAATTGTCCGGAATAATCCAACCTTTGGGCCGTCCGCTAAAAATAATCCCACATTTGGATTATTTTTAAATAATCTCACCTTTACCCCCAATCTGCTCCCAATTGGCCTAGGTGACCGGCTACCTGATAAAAATAATTTTTTTTATTATTTTTTTTTTTTTAGTTTTCAGGTACACATGTCACCCTACAATTTGTCTAAAATTTGATCGCCGCCGAATTGCACCAGATCTAATCGGAGCTCGAGGCTAGGGAGAGTGACGGAGGCCGAAATCATGACAGGGAGGCCGAAATTGGAAAGGAGATGGGGGTTTTCGAGGGTGGCAAGAGAGCTCGAAGCTGGAAAAGGGACAAGGGAAGAGAAGAGGGTCGACAACGAGGTGGGGGGAGGGAGGTCGGGATCGGGACAGGAAATGGTTTCGAAGGTGTTTGGTGGTTTAGGGGGAGGGATACGGTTGTCAGCGCGTTCAGGGGAGGGGTACGACGGTCGGGGCCTGGGTTTTTGAGGGTGTCGTTGCTTGATTTTGTGAGGGCAGGAGGCGGGTTGGTTCTTCAGGCGAGGAGTTCAGGCAACGCCGACGTCGGCGCTGTCGCTGTGGGTTATGGTGATTGGGGCGACGGGGTAGCGGTGTCAGTGGCGACGAGGAAGGCTTTGGCTGATGGTGGTTTTATTTAATTATTAATTTTATAAATTTTTTTCTTTTAATTTTTTAACAATTTTTTTTTCTTTTTTGACAAATCACAGGCCAACACGTGTTAAGTAAGTTGTTATAACAAGTTACATGACCGGTTGAGACCATTTAAAGCGGATTAGGGGTAAAGGTGGGATTATTTAAAAATAATCCAAAGGTGGGATTATTTTTAGCAGACGACTCAAAGGTGGGATTATTCCGGACAATTATTCATTTTTTTTCTTTATTTAATTAATATCCGTAGCCATGTTATTTTATCTTGTTAATAGTCGTATGATTTACCTAGGATATATATCACTAGATTCTCTCAGGATTAAATTTATCTTTAAATTTGATATAATGTTGGACATGAAAATATGATAGTTTTCATTAATAAAATCTTTGTGAGTTAATTCAAGTGAATTGAATTGATTTTAAATTATTGCTTATCTGCTTGTTTAAGTAAAAAAAAAAAAAAAAAAGTAAAACTTTATTGAATTAGGTTTACCCATTGCCACAATTCCTTCTATTTTCTTGTTCTTTAATTTTTCGTAAAAGTGCGGCTAAATCCACGGTGATCAACTACCCATTAAGAGATTGACCATTATGACATTATCAATTCTCAATCAAAGCAATTTACAATTAGAGCTTGTTTGGTTGACAAAATAAAATGGGGAAGTGAAAATTCATGGGAATTGACAAATTGAATCCTTGTTTGGTTGGCACAAAAAAGAAAAAATGGAGGAAGTTTGAATTCATGGGAATTTCAATTTCCCACAAAACATAGGAAATAAATTACCAAGGTTCTCCTTCCCTTTAACTTTGAGAAATTCCTAGGAATTTCATGAGGGTAATAACTTCCCATGAAATACAACTTCTTACGGGAATTTATTTCCCGTGTCAACCAAACGAGGCCTTAGTCAACAAAGCCTAAATCCTATCGGTGGATTCGTTATTGGGCTAGGATGGACGCCACTCCATTGTCAATTCTAAGGTTGTAAAAAAAAAGTAACCGTTTATCGTAATCGTTAACCGGTATATCCGACTCATTTTATAGGTTAATTAACCGTATCGTTAAAAAATATTTATTTTAACAATGGTTAACCGTTTACTCAAAAGTGTAATTATAGCCGTAAAAAATATAGCGATTAACGATTATGGTTACACTTTTGAGTAAACGGTTAACCATTGTTAAAATAAAAATATATATTTCTTATATTTTTTTTGAAGAAAAGATAAATATAATGAATTGGATGTGGATAAAGGAAAATTAGGTGATGAATGGATCGGGTGGCGGATGAATCGTTGGTGGATGGTGATTAGGGGATTTTTATCCACCAATCACCGTCTGACAAGTGGACCAACCAGGTTCCGCCACGTGTCCTTCACGAGGGTCAACAGGAGCCTGCCACGTGTCAATCATAGATACGTCCTCTACGGACCAATTTAGACACGCCACGTGTCCACCCATGCCAAATGGGAAAACCGGCCATCAAGGCCCAATCCAGTCTAGAGGCCCGATCAGCCCTAGGTTTACCTTAAACCTAGAGAGTGGCACGCTTCTCGAGGCTATAAATACTTAATTAATCCTCATTAATTGGGTGAGTGAAAAAAGTAATCAAGCAGAGAAGAACAGAAATATTACGGAACACCAGCAACCGGCTAATCTCGCTAACGACGCAGATTACCAACACTAAGCACTCTCACCTAGAGAGATCTCATTACTTTATTTTCTGTATTAATTACTCCTTAATCAGGTACTAACTTGACCGTTGGAGGCGGAGCTCTCAGGAGTCTCCGTTATTTTGCAGGTACAGGCGTCCGGTTCCAGTCTCGGAATTGTAACTCTCCCGCAGGACATCAGAAAACCCCGAAACATTTGGCGCCGTCTGTGGGGAGAGTACTTCGGAGATGGCATCCAAGTCTGTACCGACTCCAGAAGAGAGGCGTCCCCTAGACGACCCTCAAGTTCAGTCGGACCATGATACCGAAAGTGAATTTGAAGTTGAAACTCATACAGCTCCAGACGGGACCCTAAGGGCCCGACGTACCCGTCATACCGAAAGGAGGGAACGGGAGCATCTTCAAACAGAAAGCGAGCCAGCAGGCGCACCGCTTGCTCGGCAACAGCCGACTGATGGGTCTGCTCCCATCACAAGGAACGAACTCATGACCTTCATGAGGGACTTCAAGGGAGAGATTCAAGAGTTGATCAACAAAAAACCGCCTGCTTCAGTCAAAGAGCAGTCGGCCAAGAAACCTTCCACTTCACTAAAGAGGAAGCCAGTTCAAGGGCGAGAGGCGACTCCCCATCCTAAATCCAAGAAGCGGGAGCCACCTGCGCTTGATTTCACAAAACTCCGTTATCCTACGGGAAATAGGAAACCGGTTCGTCATATTCAGGCGGACGGGTCAAAGCAAACGTTCACAGATGCTCGGCACCTGCTAGAGAAGAAGAAGAGTGACCGATTATCAGAGTCGGCTTCTACTTCAAATTTTCAAGACAGTTTGCGAAATGCCTCGATGAGGCATACTCAGTCGTACCATGAGAGTCAGTCAGGCGGCACCTCCCGTCAGTCCGGCTTTCATAGTGCCCAGGCGGTACCAAACTTACCATTTGTGCCGCAACAACAGTATTTTATGCAGCCACCTCCATTTGGTGGACCTGCAGCAAAAAACGTCCAACCTATGGACTGGCAGCTACGGCTGCTTAGACTTGGTGAACAGCCGTCGGCCTTCTCCAAGGAAATTACTGAAGCCGCTCAGCCGGCCAAAGTAAAAAATGTTCTAGTAGGCGCCTATGACGGCACTACTAACCCAGAAGACCATCTGATGGCATTCACCAACCTGATGTACCTTCAAGGGTTGGATGATCCCACTTGGTGCAAGTGTTTCCCAGCGACTCTCAAGGGAATTGCACAGCAATGGTTCGGCAACCTGCCGACTGGTTGTGTAAACAACTTCAGGACGCTTGCTTATTTATTTGCCTCCAACTTCGCCATGAATATCCCTGCGAAGAAAACTACCCTTGATTTGGGAACAATTCAGCAGGGCGAGAAGGAGGGGCTTCGTTCTTACATCAGGCGGTTCAACCTGATGAGAATACAGATTCAAGGGTTACCGGATGAGGTAGCTTATACTGACTTTTTTAGAGGTCTCAAAGACGGGTCTACCTTCAAATTTGATTTAGTTCGAAAAAGGGTGGCGACTCTTCAAGAGGCCTTGATTGAAGCAGAAGCCTATATACAGGCGACTGATCTGTGTACAATAAAACAGTCGGACGGAAAAAGGTTCGACAAAAGAGAGGGACGACAGAAACAGTCGTCCAACAAAGATGAGAAAAGAAAAGAGGTCTGGGCGGCTGATTCCTCTAAACAGCCGACCCAGAAGAAGAAAAAAGAATTCAAACCATACTCCCCAAAGTATGTGTTTAACAAGGATAACCAGTTTATCCTAAAAGAAATAAAGGGACGGTTCTCAATTGAGAAGCCGCTCCCCATGAAGGGTTCTGCAAGCAACCGGA